CATTTTAAAATTTGTTAAAAGAATACATCAAAGGCTGGGTTCAGGCACAGGCTTGAGATATGAATTAGAGAGAGAGAGAGAGGGATGAAGATGAGAGGGGCAGGACCGTAGGATATAAGAAAAATATATTTAAAAAAAGAAAAGAAAAAGAAATTTATCTGGGATATTAAATGATATGAAAGGATATAAACGTTGAAGTATTTTTAAGCTCTTTCAGAGAGAAATAGACTCGGTAACATCAAATTTTGCAAACCTCAAAAATCAGCCTAGAGTCAGTTGGATGAGGGTGCGGCTGAGGCTGTAAGAAGAGTTATGTTTTGTGGGTTGGGAATAGTTGGTAGAAGGATTGGTTAGTCGGGTAAGGATGGGTTTGTTAAAAGAGGATTGGTTAGTCTGATGAGGATGGGTTTATTAAAAGAGGATTGGTTAGTCGGATGAGGATAAAAGAGGATTGGTTAGTCGGATGATGATGTGTTTGTTTAAAGAGGATTGGTTAGTCGGATGAGGATGGTTTTAATGTATGAGGACGGGTTGGATGGATGAGGACTGGTTGGATGGATGAGGACGGGTTGGATGTATTAGGACGGGTTGGATGGATGAGTACTGGTTGGATGGATGAGGACGGGTTGGATGTATGAGGACGGGTTGGATGGATGAGGACGGGTTGGATGTATTAGGACGGGTTGGATGGATGAGTACTGGTTGGATATATGAGTACTGGTTGGATGGATGAGGACGGGTTGGATGTATGAGGACGGGTTAGATGGATGAGGACGGGTTGGCTGTATTAGGACGGGTTGGATGGATGAGTACTGGTTGGATGTATGAGGACGGGTTGGATGTATGAGGACTGGTTGGATGGATGAGGACGGGTTGGATGGATGAGGACGGGTTGGATGGATGAGGACGGGATGGATGTATTAGGACGGGTTGGATGGATGAGTACTGGTTGGATGTATTAGGACGGGTTGGATGGATGAGGACGGGTTGGATGGATGAGGACGGGATGGATGTATTAGGACGGGTTGTGGATGAGTACTGGTTGGATGTATTAGGACGGGTTGGATGGATGAGTACTGGTTGGTTGGATGAGGACGAGTTAGATGGATGAGGACGAGTTAGATGGATGAGGACGAGTTTGTTGGATGAAGATGGGGCATTTGGATGAGGTCAATTTAGGAGTGAAAGTTGAAAGACTTTTGCTTTAATTATGACGGTTCAGTCACAAAATAAGTTGCTTAAGATTATACAATACATTGGGTTCAATTTTTATCTTTCCTATATCTAAGCGAAGAAAGAATGTGTCACATTGTGGTATGCAATTAAGTAAATGCAACTAACACTGCCAGATAAACACGCACAGTAAACTTAGAATAGTACAGTGATTGCATTCTGCATTTCTTCAATCTTGTTTGTTAATTTATAATCTCCATACATGTATGAATATTTATCTCTAACTGAGGTAGATATGTAGAAAGGCTCAGTGTGATATATTTCCTCATATTTAGGTTAATTACTCAACGCAAATTATTCATCCCTCATTAGGAACTATTTCAGGGCTATTCCTTCAAATAGGATCTATTTCAGGGCTATTCCTTCAGATCATATAAACAGGATCTATTTCAGGGCTATTCCTTCAGATCATATAAATAGGAACTATTTCAGGGCTATTCCTTCAGATCATTTAAAAGAACTATTTCAGGGCTTTTCCTTCAGATCATATAAATAGGAACTATTTCAGGGCTATTCCTTCAGATCATATAAATAGGAACTATTTCAGGGCTATTTCTTTAAATCATATAAATACTAAATAGGAACTATATCAGGACTATTCATTAAAATCATATAAATTAAGAAATATTTGCTTTTTATTCAGAAAGGGCTATTTATCCAGATCTTTTAAAACAGGGATAATTTTAGGCACTAATTCAGATTTTATAAGCTAGACACTATTTCAACCTTTTTATCTAGATAGAATATAAGTTAGATACTACGTAGATACACTGAACACTAATTACATTTCAGAAATTATAATATTTATCTAGATTATTCTTCGACCTTGTAACTTGTATCCAGTGTATTCCTAGTAGATACACAGTATCAGGGTTAATTATTTTGCTAAATATCCCCCCCCCCTGCCGGAGAAATGCTATTTTCACCTTTAGGCCAAATTTGTCATGAAAATATGTTGCGCTTCGCGTTCATTGATTTTTAAAAAAACTTTTTTTGTGCAGAAGGAAGGAGATTGCTTTTGAATGGAAGTATGTGTGAGTGTGGGGGGGGGGTTAATTTGTACAGAAAGATAATATTTAACCCTGATTTTTTCTGATCTGATTTCAGATATCAAATTCTCGTAAACCTTATCAATATTCTACCCCTCGTACATATTCAGGTTACTCACACTTTGGGAATTCATCACTTTTATCATGTTTACTTCGCTCACATATTTTCCCCTAAAAACACTTAAAATGTTTTCAAGAACATTTCTAAAAACAATTAATCTTTTTTAGACCCGGAGGCGTTTTAAAATTTTCCGGGAATAATTCTTAAATNATTCTCTTTCAAGAGATTGTAGAGTTTCTATACAAATAAGTAAGTTTTAGTAAAGATTATAAGAAAATGAAAAGTAATTTGATAGAAGTTAGGGGCTACATTGCGCAAATGTACTAGTAAAAAGATGTTAAGAAGTATCAAACAACTAAAACTAAAAGAAAGATCAAAATACAGAAAGTTCTGCCAGGAGAACAAGATCTCAACTCTAGGATAATAATAATAATAATAAATGTATTTCAAACTAGATTGATTGTTACATAACATTTTATGGTCAATGTATATATAAGTTGTAGAAAAATTAAAATCTGTTACAGTATTTATGTACATAAATAGTCTTTCTCTAGTTTGAGGACTAACAGAGTCTAGAGACTGTTTCGTGAAGCGATGAGAGCAAGATAGTTGTAAAGAATGGTTAGTGATTCCTTGAGAAAGGTTATAAAGTATCTTCGTTTATTGTTGATTAAGGAGTAAAGGAGGGATAAGAAAGAGGGATACTGTAAGCTCTATACCCCTACCTTGATAAGAAGGGACGGATAGGAATTCTCCAGGTGACAGGAGGATAAGGAGCTGAAGGGGATATAAGTTAAACCTTGAGGGGGTTGTAAATGCTGCAGTCTCTAGAATATTTTATGAATATTATCCATCAGGAAGAAGAAACGTATAATTAATTAAGCCTGGGAGGAGAGGAATGTGCAAGATTATTGATTTGTCAGAACTAAGAATTAAATGTAAATGGGCAATTTGGCACCAGGTACTGGGGATATAAACATAACGAAGTGCTGGGAGGATTAAATAGCATATGGGATGGTTGGAGGGGAGGGGGGGTATTCGAGAATTTAGAGTAAAAGCATGATTTTCAAATTTTGTATCCTAAAATTATACCATGCATATGTTAAACTTTCTAAGCTGAATAGAAAACTGAAAAATAATTAAGCTTTTGGTTTAATATTTCCTAATTGTTGTAAGGAAACACTACAGATCTTATTCCCAATTAATAAAACTTTTTTTAAAAACTTATAATTTGTCGCTTCTGTATCTGCGAAAACACTTTTTAATAATCATTTTTATATAAAAAAGTAACTTCAGTTTTTGGCACAAACTCTGATTTTTTAATACCTAAATCTTTGCAACCCGATGTCGTTAACCTTTAATATTTAAAGTCATGAATTCTGTTAGATAAAATAGTCAAAGTTTGAAATACCAATGATTTACACCATCAGGTTGCAAACATATAAATTCGAAAATATTCAGTTCCTTATGACGCGAATATTTTGAATAAACAAGTTCTCCAGATGTTTTCTAATCAAGACAATCTAGCACCTAGTCATATTCAATATTTGTGGTATGTTGACAACAGACCCGCATTGTTATGTTGTATAAACGATCTATTGTAGGAATTCTTCCTGTCAACAAATATAATATCTTAACTCATTCTTTTATCTTTCATTTATTAATATCAGGCATGGGGCCAGGGATGAAAAATGAATAAATGGATGACAAAGGGATAAGGAGTGGATGTCGTAGGGCAAAATGTTGTTGACTATGAACAAAAGTGATTGGTGGAGTGTTTATAAGTATGGTTAAATAGATAAAAAAGGGATAGAAGAAATAGGGTTTAAAAGTTAATGCTGAAGCGAAAGTTTTTCATGAATTGTAGAAGTATTTTTAAGTGACCCTGCATTTACAGATTCACCACGGGCTCTTTAAAACTGTCAATTTCTTTAATTGTTTCTGGAGTACAAATTCGCAAGGAAGAACCCGCAATTGAAAATAATTAAATTTTAGGAAACTGGAATAATTTTATCATAATTGTCCAGTAGAAGGTTTAATGGGTATTATCGTAAATTGAACGACGGACATGCAACCAAGTTCTATAAAAAGAAAACCACTTGAAATTAGGTCTACAATCCCTTTAAGTATAAAAGGGATGGAAAGTTGTTATTGAAGAACAAAATTGAAATTAGGATGGAAAGAGATGAAAAATGCAACATAGTTAGTTGTCGAGCAAAAATATATCTTTTATTGACTATTCCTGTGTCTATATTCCACATTCATAATAGATTCTAAAGTGTTCACTGTCTATACACCTCTGAAAGGAATTGATAAGTTGACTAAAGCTCAAATATTCTAATCCCCTTTTATCTTCTCAACCTGGTGTCGTAGACTTTTCATATTTCAAACTTTAAATTATGCTCTCTTCAAATAATATATCAAAGGTTTGCATTATCATGTTGCAAAGATACAGTGATAACAGAGTATAATGCGAGTAATCAGTTTGATCAAATTTAGTTACTGAGGGAAACATATTGAAAGTGTTATAAATCCAGTAAATTGATAACATCCTTCTTTTGTAACATTAAGATTATATTTTTTTGTCAGAAAATGTAATGGATGTTATTTAGGATTAGACAAGATACATTTAATTAATGAATACTTTAATATTTCAGGTGTGTTGAGCTACTGAGGGGAACTCATAACTCAGGGTCGGGGGGAATACTGGATACAGTGAGTACCGTGAAAATTGTACTAGTACACAATAGTTCAACCTACCCTGTAGTGTACAGCACTAGTAGGAGAACAGGATCTAGAGGAGGAAGAATAAAACTAGTGATGAATTGATAAATTCTGGAATATATGACAAGAGAAGGGAGCGTAGCCAGGGGATCCAATATGGGTACTCTTGGCAGGGACACACAGGCTGACAGGGGGTCCAATATGGGCACCATGGTCAGGGGCACCCAAGGTGACAGGATTTCTGTCAGGGACGGAGCTCGGAGTAAAACCCCTCCTGGGACTCCCAGGAGAGGGAGTAAACTTCTCTCGGTTCGGGTTCAGCTCCTGGATGATTCTGTAACTGTATTCCAAGTTCAGGTGAGATAATGGCAGTTTTATAATTCCCTAGATATCTACCTACCCTCCCACCCTCCCACTCCTTACCCTCCTCTAAACTATCCTCTGCAACCATATCAGCCTCTAATGGCTGCTATTATAAAGTTACATCTTTAAACATATATTTTAGGTTTAAAATTAATATTTCACCTAATATGTATGTCCAAAACTACCTAAAGGAAAATTAAAACTTATTTCTTCAAACAAATTCATTTCTGTGCCCTGCAGAGAAATGTTACAAATAAAAAAATTAGACATTTATTATTTTTGAAAATTCACCAATTTAATCCGAAATATCCGCGAAAATTGTTATTAATTGCAACAGTTATTCAGAAAGCTGATCATTGAAAAGACGATGCGAAGTGCTCAAAAAGCCTGGTTAAATTTGATCAACATCTCGAACTATTTGAAATTGATTAAGATGTCTAGATCGTAGATATCAGGTTCACCTTTCATTCTTTAGAAATTTATCAAAGAGGAAACTTTAAAGAATTTGACATTTACCATTTAGATTACTCTAACCCTGGCATCAATTCATCTTTTCTGAGTAACCCCACCCCCTCCCCCATCTCGCTGCATATTCACTCTCGTACTTGTCATTAGTCCCCCCCCCTCCCTAGATCTTATAGAGGACGATAACATATGACTCCCACCCATCCCTCCGCACACCCCTGTAAAAATCTTTTCAATAATCCTCCCCCCCCCCACTCCCCTCTTTCTTTAATCCCCCATGATTCAACCCTTGATGTTATCATAAATTTCCCTTGACAGGGCAGTGTATCAAATATGTTAAAACAGGTTTAAAGATTTAATATTTATCTTATAAATATGCTTATATGCTTGTTTTCGCCCCGTAATGTACGCAATTGCGCTAAATATATGTCAAACTTGGAAATAGTCTGAAATGGAAGAAAAGGAAGTCTTTGTTTTAAACTCAAATTTTATTTTCCCTATATATTTGCAACCTGATGGTATAAACCTTTGACATTTCAAACTTAGATTATTTGATCTAACATTCGAAAAATCTAAATTTTACATTGGGTTTCAAAATTATAGGTTATAGAAAATCAGAGTTTGTGGCAAAAACTAAGTTCCTATATTATTTTTTACTTCAATTACAAAAGGCGATTTAAAATCTTTTCTCTCTGTTTATATGAATAACAAATTCCTAAAATATATATTTAATATATGAATAACAAATTACCTAAAATATATATTTAATATATGAATAACAAATTACCTAAAATATACATTTAATATATGAATAACAATTGAATGTAAAATTTCAAATTGTGGAAGATATTTATGAATACGATATATTGTAGAAAAAATACACTTAACTTAATTTTTAATTTAAACAACTTAATTTTCTAGCTAGGCCTTAATTAATTTTTAAATTAGAATAAAGAAAGGGAAGGAACAAATTCTAATTTCTTATACCTAAATCTTTGCAACATAATGTTTATTTTTAAAAACTATGAATTCTCTTATATTACAAAGTCCAAGTTTGAAATGTCAAAGGTTTAAACCATGAGATTGCGAAGATATAGGGATTAGAAAACTTGATTTTGTGGAAAAAACAAATCCTTTAAGAAAATTAATTGTTTTGCATTGTCAAATAAAATGAAATTCCATATGTTAAATGTTAGTCAGAAAAGAACGATTAAAATTGTTAATAATTCTAAAAAAGTTAAGTTAGAGCTTATGTACAGGGTTGCCCACAAAGTACGGGACTTTAAAGACGAATTTTAATTTTTGGGTTTGGTCTTCATCAGTAAAAAAAAGAGTTTGTAGGAATCCGTACAGTCGTCTCTGAAGTCTCATCCTTTGTGGGTAACCCTGTATGTATTCTTTACAACTGAAGAAATAAATAAACTTATTTAGAGCCAGTAAATCTATATTTGTCTCCTGTAGAACTAGAATAACGACAATGCGTTAAAATGTCATCTTGTAAAAGACATCTTTTTAAGAATAGTTCACACATTTTTTATTTTCATCTTTTGTTCAGCACTGCAGCATAAATATTAATGTTAATAAACGTAGTAAAATACATTAGTCTATATACGTGTATTTCCTAATTATTTCTATTTAGCTCTGAAGACCTATTTAGAAATAATTATTCACAAATAAAATGATAAAAGCTTCTTAAAATCTGTTTTCATCGTTCTCTTCTTTCTAAGTATAAATACGAAAGCAATGATATCTGGGTTTCTAGGGGGATAGAAAGATATAAACGCTTCTACATGTCTTGATAAATATAGAAATGAATGAGAAAAATGTTAAATATTTGTTTTGGATGGAATTCAATATTAAGATAATCGTTTTTTTCTCTTTAAATTTTACGTTTAATAAACATGAATAAAAATGGCTAACTTCTTATGAAACACGTTAGATTATATAAATTCTAAAATAGTTAGGAAAATTTTGAGTTAAGATGGGAAAAGAGCCGAAGCTCCAGAGCATTGTTATTTAACTGTAGTCCTTTAAATACGAATACTTTTGAAGAAAATGTAACTTTCTCGACAAAAACGTGTTAGAATAAAACCTTCTGGTCTTTTCATTCGCAATATCACAATAAAAGCGCAAACCTTGAACTGTAGCTAGTTCACTTATCTGCACAAACCTTGAACTGTACCAAGTTAACTTATCTGCACAAACCTTGAACTGTAGCTAGTTAACTTATCTGCACAAACCTTGAACTGTAGCTAGTTAACTTATCTGCACAAACCTTGAACTGTAGCTAGTTAACTTATCTGCACAAACCTTGAACTGTAGCTAGTTAACTTATCTGCACAAACTCCAAATTTATCTTGTTGTATGCAGCAACAAATCGTATTCGTATTGGTAGGACAACAAGTTGTGTCTCTGTTGCTATGGATATCAGAAGAATAATACAAATTTTATTCATCATTGCGCACGCGCAAAACTTACCGCATGAATAGCAATAGTAGTGCATTTTCTCAAAGGTTCGATTCTTAAATTAAATAACAATTTTTTACGCATGGAAACCCTAATTTCTAAACTAAATCCCAATATTGAATTTATTTATTAATAGCTAAAGTTCCCGGCGTTACCCGTGAAATAAAAAAATTAGAAGACATTTGAAAAAGACAATTAAAGCCTTTTTTACCCCCAGGGTACCCATTGGTTTCCTCAAAAATGTTCGGCCAATTTGGTTCAGTCGCTTGGCTGTTTCCTCAAAAAAAATAAAATATTATAAAATATAAACTATATACAAATGTGGCGAAAGATAATCGATGACTATAGGTTGTCCTATCTGAATGATTTGTTTGAATAACTGAGAGACATTTATTAAAAAATTAAGTTAAGTGCAATTTAGAGTGCAACTGGAGCCTGAGAAATAAGTTTTAATAAATATTATATTTATTAAAATATTCTAGAAGCAGAAGCTAGAATACTGAATATTAACCTAAACAGGAAACCTTCCAAATACATTCTTTTTCACTTATACAGCATTCTTAAAGGCTCAGCTAGAACATAATCCATGATTTAGAAAACAAAATCTGTAGTTCACAAGTTCTTAAAGAATTAAAGACGGAAATGGGATTAAATGCACGTGATATTTTTTGTACTGCAATGATACTCATAAGGAATACATGACTGAAAATTTATAAAACATGGTGGAAGACTGTTTTACAATATTATATCCTGTATCATCCTTTAAAAATTGTCTTATGCTTATTATGACATTTTTAAAATTAAATGTCCAATTTTGTGTATTCTTTTGTATATTATTAAAACATGATTTTGTTTGTCGACCTGAGCAATTCTTTTTAGCCAATTAGATGCTTGCTGAAATATTTATAAAAACCTTTTTGTCTTAAAACAACATCGTTCCTGCAAATATTTGCTGGGAAAACTTTTTCTTTTTGTCTCACGTTAAAATTAGTTACACATTGTGTCCAGACTTTTTATTTTTGTTTTCTTAAAAAATTTTAGATTTGAATACAAGTATGACATTTAAAGGATTTAAATACCATTTTTAATCATAATTCAACAGTTTTCACACATTGACATTTTTAAAGTTCGTAATCCTTGCAATGCTCCCTGGGCCCGCCTAGATTTAGAGTTTAATTCTTTAATATAAACTTTAATCATCGGAAAACAAAATTTTAAAGGATGCAAGAGGTAACATATAACTTTAAATTAAAGGGAGAGAGGATATTTTTCCACGTGGTAAAACAGATGTGACACTTGGTTAAATACAAAATAATTTCAGAGTTTGACAGAAACAATTCTTTTAAAGACAAAATAGATTTTCCCCCAAGATAGTAGATTGTTCTGTTCTGTGTTGTTTGTATGAGATTTATGGGGTAGATAGGAAGCCAAGCTACCAAACCCTATTCTAGGGGGTGGAGGAGATATAGGAGATAATCAGGAGAAGGTGGGAATTCAAATCTAAAGGAACAGCCATGAGAAGGAATGCTTTTGAATTCTAAGACTGAGTAGAACAGATTCTAGAATTTTTGGGACAGATGAAACAGGATTCTAGCATAGCAAAAAGCAGGGAGTATAAATAATTTCACAGAATAGAAGCAGGATCGAGATCTTTAACAGAATGGAGCACAGCAAGAAATCTTAAACAACAGGGTTCAATAATTCTTTTACAGAAGCAAGAACTAAAAAAGGGAGCCGGGGGCAGGAACTTTGTATAGAATAGCGCGGGGTGCAGGAATTTTTAGTACAGAATAGAACTGTGTGCAGGAGCTTTAGTACAGAATAGACACTATAGTTTCATTAGAAGTTAATATTTCCATTTAATGATAGCGCCGATTGAGTAATTCTTAACTCTAATTGGATAATGAGATAGATAGAAAGATAGATGTTACCGCCATACTATTTTTATTGGTTCAGAGTAGACAACAAGCACATGACTGCACCCTGATTGGATCAGGCGCTAATGGACATGGCATACAGGAGTGTAGAGAAGGGTGAAGGAATTTATAGTATAGAGTAGAGTGGGGTGCAGGAATTTCAGCACAGAGTATAGCGGGGTGCAGGAAAATTAGTACAAAGTAGAGCGGGGTGCAGGAATTTTAGTACAGAGTAGGACAGGATGCAGGAATCTCAGTACAAAGTAGTGTGGGGTGCAGGAATTTTAGTACAGATTAGAACAGGGTGCAGGAATTTTAGTAAAATGTAGAGTTGGGTGCAGGAATTTTAGTACAGAGTAGAACGGGGTGCAAGAAACATAGTACAGAGTAGAGTGGGGTTCAGGAATTTTAGTACAGAGTAGAGTGGGGTGCAGGAATTTTGGTACAGAGTAGAACAGGGTGCAGGAATTTTAGTACAGAGTAGAACGGGGTGTAAGAAACATAGTACAGAGTAGAGTGGGGTTCAGGAATTTTAGTACAGAGTAGAGTGGGGTGCAGGAATTTTGGTACAGAGTAGAACAGAGTCCAGGAATGTTAGTACAGTGTAGATGGGGTGCAGAAATTACAGATTGCAGCAGGATGCAGAAATTTTCGATAGAATGGGGCATAATGCAGAAAATCTTAAATAGAATGGAGAATAATGCAGGAAATCTTAAATAGAATGGTGCAAATGCAGGAAATCTTAAATAGAATGGTGCATAATGAAGGAAATCTTTAATAGAATGGTGCATAATGCAGGAAATCTTTCATAGAATGGTGTAAAATGCAAGAAATCTTTAAAGTAATAGAGAAGGATGCAGGAAATTTTCAATAGAACAGAGCTTGACCCGGTAATTCAATTACATAGTGAAGCTGGGTGCAGTTAAGCCCAGTATTCTTTGAGAGGTGATACCTAAAACCTGAAATTCGCAAAATGTAAACGAAATTTATCTTAGTTTATAAAATGGGGAAAGTTCTAAAATCTTTAGCCACAAAGAAGGTATTTTAATAGGGTAGCTACAGGCTATTTGAAGTAAAAAGTTGAATACTCTGTAGAAAAATGCTTTAAAAATTCTGCAGTCGGACATATCTGATTTATGAAACTTCAAAGAAAGAGGAGAATTTTTTTCAACTAGATTTAAGTAAAATTTAACTTGAGTTGCAAACAGTAAATTTTTATTTAAACTTTGCAATTGGCGTCTGGGGGCTAAGACTAGATGAGCTAGATAATGATTAACATGTCTACTGGGAGTGGCAATTATCCAAGGGCGGTATTAAGATTTAATACCCCTCTATTGCTAAAAAGTTCTATTTACCGCCCTAATCCTACAAAAATTACAGTTTATTTAAAGTACAGGGTCTTAATTATCCATTTATTTATCTCAAAAAGATATTGTTGATTTAACTTTATACATTAACATTATACATATCATATCATATTATTCGAATGAAGGGAGAATTATTTTTATTCCTAAATCATGCTAATTTTTCTTGCAGGAGACTGCAAGTAGTTTTTATGTTTCTTTTTAGACTTAAAAATAACCAAAGAAGCCTGAAAGTAAAAAAGGAATTTTTTTTCAAAATAAAAAAAAATAAAAAATATCCTCCTTTATTCCAGTCTACAATAATTTGGTTTTCTTGGACCGCTTGAAATAAAGGCATTAAAACACTAATGTCCGAAATTGAAGCAAGCCTTTTAATGAGTGCATCGTCATTCTTCCCAGGTTGACCAGCCTGTCGGTGGTAATCAGGTGGTAATAGATGACCTGTTCAATTAGAGCATTGAGCAATATTTACATTACAAAGTTTCAGAGGTCGTTAAAAATTATTAGGTTTTGACTAATGTGCATATTCCTGATATGCCGAGTACATATCAGAATATTTAATTTTATGCTTATTATGTATTTTTCATTATTTTGTAAAACGGGTTTTCCGTTAAATATGGCTTCGAAAGACGAAACTTTTGATGCCCATATCGACATATTTTAAGAAGAAAAAAACACTCTTACTAGCGGTTTTTTTTCACAAAAGGCCATTTGCCATTGTCAATTTTGATTTTTGCGAAAAATGCCTGTTGTAAATGTTTCTTAGAATTAAAAAATACATTATTATTTACCATTTGAAATGATTCCTCTCAAAGGAATTGATTCTTTGTCACAAACTCTGATTTTCTAATCACTATATCTTTGGAACCAAATGTTGTAGACCTTAGATATTTCAAACTATGAATTCTGTTAAATCAAATAATCTGAGTTTGAAATATCAAAGGTTTACAACATCGGGTTCTAAAGATATTGGGGTTTAAATATTTGTTTTTTTTACAAAGACTCAATACCTTTGTGAAAAAATTTCACCCTTAATATATATGTTTATTTTTACAATATTGTCACTTCCAAGTAAACTTTCTTATTTATTTATTTTCATAAATAAAAATTATAGTTAAAATGAGAAATGAAATCCTGGGGGGTTACACCCCCCTCCCTCCTACTCACGGGGGGCAATGGACTGCCATCCCCCCCCTGAAACCACCCTTGCAATTATCATTATACGTATCCACCCATCCACTAATTAGTTATTACCGAATATTAACGAAAAAAAATGTTAAGTAACTTTACTATTTCAGATCAAATCAAATCATATATTTTTCTTTGCTATAAAACAGATATTAACAATACAACAAAAACAATACAAATAAATGAAAAGCTACCAGTCGCAACACCTTCATTAGCTTACTAATTAACTTATAGTTTTTTTTAAGCACTAGACATGTACATTTAAGAACTTCAACGCGCTTTATTCTAGATTTATTTTGTTTCAGTTAATAATTAGTAAACTATATAGACAAGTAATCCATATAAAAACTTGCAGTTATTAACTAGTAAACTGTCTATACGGTTAAGTAATCTTTAGTAGCAAACAAGAACACTAAATGACAAAATAATTTTTTTGAGCAAACATTAGTTATAAACTAACTATAAATATTAAACTGTTTATTAATTCAAGTTTATTGTAGAGTAAAGCTGCTGGTCGAATGTTGTTTGAGCAGGTGTGCAAGCAACTAAACCTCCTGGAAACTGATTACTTCGGTCTAGAATATACTGATGCGCATGGTATTACGGTAAGCTATCAGTAAAAATGATTTTTTTTTGCCTATTTTGCTGTTTTCCCAAAAAGTTTTGAGCTTGCATGACTTGAAAGTTTTAAGGCGTGACTGCATTAAGGCTGTATAAAAATAATGTTTCTGGAAAGGAACTGATTCCTCTCCACATACTAATATATGTTTAATAAGTCTCAATTAACATTTAAAATCCTGGAAACAAATCTCAGAATATTTTCTACGATTATAGAGCTCCAAGCTCGTTTAGGAAAAGCAAATTTTGATTTATGAAATAACACAGAAACTGATTACTCGTCTCAAACTTTAATTTTCTACTTCTTTTATTTTTGCAACCTGATGTTGTTGGCCTTTAATATTACATTTGAAATCTGCTAGATCAAATATTTTAAAATATCTAAGAACTAGAAATTCAAGGCGCTTCGCACCCTTCTTTCTAGGCTTTTAGGGCGCTTCGCGCCCATCTTCTATTTAAATTGTGAACATGTTCTTTTTGGTTTACATTTTAAAACAAAGAAGAAAAAATTTTGCGGATTTTTAAATAAAAAAATCGCGGATTTTCAAGAATTAAATTTTTTTTTACAAAATTAAAAACCTTTAAAACACATTTTTTAAAAATTTTTATCATTCATAAACCTTTCCTGTGGTCACGTGATGTCCCACAAAAAATGTGGGCCCGATCGGTTCAGCCGTTTTGACGTTTATTGGATACAAACAAACAAACAGACAAGCCAAAGGAATTGACTCTTTGCAACAAACTCTGATTTTCTAATCCCAATATCTTTGGAACCCAATGTCGTAAACCTTTGAAATTTCAAACTATAACTTTTGTTAGATCAAAAAATATAAGTTTGAAATATCAAAGGTTTACGACATTGGGTTCCAAAGATATTGGGATTAGAAAATCAGAGTTTGTTGCAAAGAGTCAATTCCTTTATATATAGATTTCACAGTTACATTGCAAAGATAAAGAGATTAGAAAATTATAGTTTGAAGCGAGTAATCAGTTTCTGTGTATTCACTAAATAAAATTTATGGAGCTTTTGCCGGAAACTCTGATTTTCCGATCCCTTTATCTTTGCAACCTGATGTCGTAAACCTTTGATATTTTAAACTATGAATGTTGTTAGATAAAATAGAATGAATTATCATAGGGTTTAAACCATCAGGTTGAAAAGAAATTTGAGTTTGTTGTAAGAACTTAGTTCCTTTGCCTTTAAAAAACGAAGTCAAGCCTCTTTGATCAGTCAAATATTCTAAGCTTGATCTTGGATTTAAAATGTAAATAAAGAATAAATAAACAAATAAACAGATGGATTGAGAGATATTTGATGTCCAATAAATAAACTTTTACCCGCAGTGTATTTACACTAAGCAAAATATTAAAGATATTTCTTCTTAAAATAGCTGAATTTCCCCTCCAGGGTCCAGCGAGAGGAGGGGACCGGGGGGGGGGGGATTGAAGCTTGGCAACTAAATGCAAATTTTTACTTTGGACATGGACTATTTTTATATGATTTATATTAAAAATATTTTATATAGAATTCAAACATTCACAATGTTGAATATTATTCTGAAAGATAATATTTTCCAACTGATGACATTTAAAAGTTATGATTTTAATTTGTTGAGTTTCCATGTTTCATTTCAGTTGAAATAAACAGATTTGATTTTATTTAAAATTTCATTTGAACTGAGAAGCTAAACTTTTCCTTGAAATGTTAGTGTTGATTGTTGGATGTAGAATTGTTATTTTAGTCTGCCACATATGTAAATCCTGTCAAATAATATTTATATTGTATGCTACGATCCTTAACATTTTTTTTTTTTTCAACAAGAAGAGTTAAGAATTAAAGGGAGTGTTCGCGAAAAATGAAAGGGGGTATAGGCTTAATGCGATAAAAAGCGCTTTTGATCGCAAATAATCTTACTTCTATCTGTTGCGTCTATAATAAGGTGAAAATAGTTAAAGACGTCTCACACCGAATAACTTGGCGCCCATAAATTCAGAAAATTGCAACATACAACTTAGACCGTAAAAAATTATTCAGATGGCTTTCGCCACATTTGTATATAGTTTATAATTTATAATATTTTTTAGTTAATTTGTTTTGAATTTGATTATTTCTCTTGCGGCTTGCGCAACTATCTAAGAATGCCGCGGACCACTCACATTTTTCAAAACCAGTTAAAACGTTTTCTAAAAAAATAAAATATTATAAAATATAAACTATATACAAATGTGGCGAAAGATAATCGATGACTATAGGTTGTCCTATCTGAATGATTTGTTTGAAATAAAATGTATTTTTTACGGTCTAAGTCGTATGTTGCAATTTTCTGAATTTGTATGGGCGCTAAGTTATTTGTATGGTATACCCCCTTTCATTTTTCGCGAACACTCCCTTTAAGAATTTATATAAAAGTTTTTTCTAACAATTATTTTCTATTTTTCAAAAGTTTTCTTCATCCGTTTCTTACTCGAACCTCATTCAAGCTCATCTCCTCCCTAGTTTTATATTGATTTTATAAGGGAGTGTCCACGAAACATAAAAAGAGGTATTGAAAACCAATTACTTAGATAGTGGAATTGATCGGTTCTATTTTCATTCAATGTTTAAGTCTTTGCCACTCAAATTCTCTACTTCCTATACCTCTCCAACCTAGAATTCATAGTTTGAAATATCAAAGGTCTACAATATGGGATTGCAAACATATAGTGATTAAAAACCAGAGTGTGTGGCAAAAAGCTCAATTCCTTTGATGAAGTAGAAAACAATGTATTCCTTCGAGAGTCGATGGTTTATTATTTTTAACCACCCTGTGTTCAGATATTTCCATTTTAAGTAATAGTAAATACTCGATCATTTAATTAAATACACATTGACTATCATGGAGAGAAAGAGACACATAGATACTTACTTGACCCTGGACAGTGGACATAGAACAAGCAAAGGATTTGAGTCTTTGCCACAAACTGTGATTTTCTAATTCCTGTAACTTTGCAACCTGATGTCATAGACCTTAGATTTTTTAAACTATGAATTCTGGTAGATCAAATAATATAAGGTTGAAAGATCAAAGGTTTACACTATCAGGTTGCTAAGATATAGAGATCAAAACATTTGTGGTAAAGACTCAATTCCTTTTATGAATAGTTAAACTATGCAGATTAACTTCTCAAGCTGACCCCTGCGTACAAGAGAACTGGTTAAACCGGCGGTCATGGTTCCTCTAGTTCTCGCTATTTATTAATTAATTCTGGTCCTAAATAAAAGAATAATAAGAAAACCAAACATCAATATATATACTTTGTTTGACAGTCTGTTTGTATCCAATAAACGTCAAAACAGCTGAAACGATGCGGCCCGAATTTTTTTGTGGGACCTCACATGACCCCAGGGAAGGTTTATAAATGATCGAAATGTCAAAAATTAACCTCCACTAAAATTCGATTTCCATAAAATTTTGAAAATTCACAAACATTTTATTTTAATAAAATCCGCAAACTTTTTTGTTTTTGTTTTACAATTTACATAAAAAGAAAAATGTTCACAATTGAAATAGAAGATGGGCGCGAAGCGCGCTGAAAGCCTAGTAAGGTGAAAGTTATTAAATTATTTAAATTTAACAAAAACTCAACATTAAACAATAAAAAAGTTAAGTTGATTAATTTATTATTCCCAAAAAGCCTTGACGTTTGCCTACTCACTACCCACTGCCCAGTCTTTTACAGTCGACGAATGGGGACGACTTAGTCCCCATTCCCTTGAAATTAACTTAGTTCCCATTCCCTTGAAATGATGCGACAAAACTGGACATTTTGTATTTGTAGTAGCAAAACATTACAAGATATTTATTCAAGTACAGGGTTGCCCAAAATAGGCCGAGACTTAAATTACGACCAAAACCTCTTTAATTATATCGATTTTAAAATTAAATTTGAATTAATTAATTAATTGGTTAATGAACGGTTGAATAATGTTGATGGGGATTAAGAATGCAAGAATAAAGACTGAAAATAATTTGTACAGTCTTCTCTGAAGTCTCATTCTTTGTGTGTAACCCTTTACATTGTACAACGTACATAAAAAATACATTAATACAACTCCAGAAAAAAAGAGAACATAGTAGGAATAGCTCTAGTAGTATCAAGAGGAAGAGGGTTTGGTTAAACTGAGTTTGTTTTCACAAGGGAAGGAGGAGGGGAGAAATTGTTGTATTTACTCAGGGAGGAGGGACGGAGGGTTGTTTTTAGCACGCTCCCTACACCTTGAAACTCCAATATGGGTATGGGGTATGATGAGAGGTTTTCCTTATTTAGCTCCTGGTACCTACCCAGCTATTGAGGGTGTAGATCAGACCTAAAGGTGGAGTAATCAACCCATTATATCTAAACCATGTGGTTTACAAGAATTAATTTGTCCGGATCCGGATCACAGTACTGAAAAATAAACCATCACGAAGAGCCATATAATTTATTAGGGAAAATAATAAGTAAAAATCTTATTTTTTGATTTGCAAAATTGATTACAAAAATCAGTGCATAGGATTCAATTCATTTGGATTTTAATGAATACTTTTTTTGCAGATTTACTGTTTTTTTAACAAAAGAAGAATTTTGAAAATAATTTTTATGCTAAAGCTTGAAGAACCATTCAGAGATAATTGGAATTCTTAATAATCGCTTTCCATGGGTCCGCATATTTTAGCGGATCCGGATCCAAGAAGCCAAAATGATGTGGATCAAACGGATTTGTTGCCTAAGGAAAAAAAACATATTTGAAACTTTTAACTAGATCCGGATCATCTCAAAGTAATAAATCTCAAACACCTAAATGAGGTATATTTTTGTTTTATTTATCATTTATATCATAATATCTTATTACCTTTTATACAGAAAACATGGTTGTATGAAACTCTACAGGTTTAAAGGATTGAAAGGAATTAGTTTAATGAGTCTGTAAAGTGAGTAAGCGTAAACCATATAAGAAGGCTGAATATGAAGAAAAGTGTATATAAGGCCGGAGTTAAAAGAAAACCATGTATGGAGTTGAATGTGTGGGTTTATACTGTATACATACATAATATATTATCTACTAATAAAAACATGCTAACCATATCCTTAACTTTAGTTATATACCTTGCCAGTTTAAACACTTGCACATTCACCACACCCCAGATTTAATAGTTATTAGATTTCCGGCATAAGAGGCACAGCCATGAAATTAAAATGTCTTAACACATTTATTAATTACAAACTTTTCCCCTTACCTAGACTTAACTATCTAACAATTCAATTAAATTTCAAATTCACTCTTAATTTCAGACTTTTTGCTACATTCGTATTGCGTTCATACTACTTTCCCCTCTTTTTAAAGAAACTACCCCCATCCCCTCCTACTAAGATTAGTCTCCCTACCGAGAGAAACGACCCCCCTCTAAGTATATTCTCCCTACCTGGAGAAACTACCCGTAACGGCGTTAATACCGGATATGATTCGTTTAGACTGTTACTGCCAACAGTTAGTTCCGCAACCTTTTTCAAGAGTTAAAATTTAGTTTGTTGTAAATACAATGTAAGCCGTGCATTCTTGCTGTGCAACTGCTGTAACATAATAAAATCCTGGGAAAATACAGGTATTGTCTTTGGTATACTTGGAGCTCTATAAGAACTTTGTTCATGTCACAAACTCCCATTTATATCCATATATCTTTGTAACATAATGATGTACACCTTTGTTATTTTAAACTTAGATTTATTGTTTTAACATAATGCATTTTATGAAATATCAAAGGTCTACGAAATCTGGTTGCAAAGATATCAGAATTAAAATATTGAGCTTTTGGGAAGAACTCTGTTCCAATATAACAAGCGTTAACTTTTTGAAAAATCGATCCAATTAACAAAACTGTTTTTTTTACATCACCAGAGCTAGGGACATGTTTTGCCTCCTAAAGATTTTTTGAAATTATATATTTTTAACACTTTAGAGTCCGTTTTGTTACACTTGTATTTAAACCAACACCAGGGTTGTCAAACTCTTGCTAATTAATAAAACGCTTGTATAACTTTATTCAAAAGAAAGTTGAGAGTAGAGAAGTTGCAAAATTCAACTTTTCATATTAAAGTTTCCTGATCCAACATATTAAATGAAACATCCTGTCTTCTAATGTCTAGTTCTTGAAGTTGCATTCTCTCCAGGGAAATAAAACCTATTGTGTACACTAAGAGCTCTGTAGGATTGTCTTTTTATTTAGTACATGTCTTGAATTATGTACAATGTACATAGAGTGGATAGTTTATGTATGAATTTCTTCAGAAATTATTTTATTCCACGACTACACAGATTACACACGCTTATGTAAATGTAAAGCTACTGGTTTGAGTTGATGCAACGAGGAATAAAGATTGAGTTTATAAATATTATTTTCTCAAGATGAATAAAGAGTATTTATTAACACTTGAAAAATTCATCATTCTTACATATATCTGGAGTCTACAATATTTTTCCTACCTTTGACCTTACCCGGAGTACACAATATTCTTTTTAACCCTGAGTAACCTAGAGTATACAATAACTTTCTTAACTTTGATCCTACCTGGAGTATAAAATATTATTCCTTACTATTGATCCTACCAGGAGTATAAAATATTATTCATTACTATTGATCCTACCTGGAGTACACATTATTATTCCTTACTATTGATCCTACCAGGAGTATAAAATATTATTCCTTACTATTGATCCTACCTGGAGTATACATTATTATTCCTTACTATTGATCCTACCAGGAGTATAAAATATTGATCCTTACTATTGATCCTACTAGGAGAATAAAACATTGTTCGTTTCTATTGATCCTACCTGGAGTATACAATCTTATCTTATCTTATTCTTACTTTGATCACCAAATTATGCATGCAGTAAATATTCTTAACTTTTATCCTACGCAGAGAATACAATAGTTTTGCCTACCTTCGATCCTACCTGGAGTATTTAATATTACCCCTACCTTTTAAGCTACCCGGAGTAAACAATATTATTCCTACCTTTGATCCTACTCGGAGTATACAATATTCTTTTTAACCCTGTAAATACAATAACTCTATCTACCCGGATAATACAATATTATTCTTGACTTTGATCCTACCCAGAGAATACAATGATTCTCCCCAAGTTTGATCCTACCCGAAGTATACAATATCATACCTACCTTTGATCCTATTATATTCCTACCCTTGATCCTATACCATGAGCATACAATATCATTCTTTACTTTAATCCTACCCAGAGAATACAATAATTCTTCTTACCTATGAGCCTATCCGGAGTGTACGATGGGGTTTACTTTATATATCTGTGTTTGATATATTATGAAATAATTATAAAACATAATTTGAAAGTTTGCATTACGTATGACTTATATTAAATAGTATGTATTTAAGTAGAACTAATAGATCTATTTAATTTTAGTTTTGGTTGGATAGAGACAAATCAATGAGTCAACAAGTTAATCTTCCTTCAGTGGATCCTCTACTCAGGTAAACAAAATTGTTATTTTTAAGTTTATAACTCGAAATATTGGGATTCTGGTAGCAGATAGGAGTAGATTAAAATTAAAAATGGGACTTGACAAGCTTTTGCAAAAAAGCGTCATTGCAGGATTTTATGTAAAATATCAATGCTTTTTCAGCTCAATTCATTAATATTCCACAGTTTGAGTTTCTTTGATGGTTCATAGAAATGTTTGTAGATTTAGAACTGTTTTTATCCCATTGTTTTATTAGGTTTGTGGTAAAATTTTACATGCCTGATCCTAGCCAACTAGAAGAAGAATATACTAGATACCTTGCTGCTTTACAGGTAATAATAGGGGTGTATATATTTTTTTTAAGCGGTCCGGGGATAAAAGCTGGGAAAGTCGTTTTTCTCTTTTTGATTTGTTATCCAAAAAACCATTTATTTCCCGAATACATCGAAAACATTCCTAATATTTTTGAAATGGGGGGGTTTAAAATTTTTAAAGAAAATATATTTAATTTAAACATTCATTATTATGGATCATAATACAAAATAGGGGAAAAAAGTCTGAACTAAATAAAAAAAGTGTTATGGAAGGTACTCAAACTTAACAACAATAATGTGGGCATTTTCTATTTTTGGCCTACGATGCAAAAGCATCACTATAACCCATAACTATATACTTATTTTTAATATTTCATAATTTTGTTCAAATGAATTAATAAAAAATATGATTTACACTGAATGCTTTTCGATAAAATTCTGATTCTATTATTAAATATAATGAATGTAGATTGTAGAATATCTAGAAATAAGTTAATCTAAAACTGTCTCAGCTTATTAAATGTATTTCTCTGTCAGTTGACAATGTTTATCTAGGGAAAGAGAATAAATAGAAAAAATAAATACCTGAGAAAAAAAGAAAAAGAAAAGTTAAAAAATATTAAAAAAAATTTAAATATGTTTAAGAATGAGAATAAAGCAAATTTCAACTTAAAGGCCTTTAGGCTTGAGTTAGAATTATAAAAAGGTAAAAAAGCCAGATAAATATAAAATAATAAAAGATAGAGCTGAAGATATTTAGTTCTTGATTAAGATACTTAGAGTTTAAGATATTGAGAGTTAGAGAGATAGAAAATAGAAAGATAGAAATAAATACAGATTTACGGATTCTCATCTTAGTTTTAGTTTTATAAATAATCAAACGATTTTTATTTGTGACTAAACCTTTATCTGATAAACCATTTTATTTAATTACTTTAAAAATCAAGGCTATTTCAAAATATTTTAAAGAAGCGTTACTTCAGATTAAGTTGATAGGCCCTTTCACCTATATAAGTGTATAGTGTTGTATAATTTTAGATTAAACGTGACCTGGCGACCGGTCATCTTCATTGTAACGACAACACAGCTGCACTAATGGCATCATACATCGTTCAAGGTAAGGAACTAAACATGCTAATTTTAAAATCCCTTATATATATATATATATATATATATATATATATATTAGCAACCTGATACTTCAAATAATAAATTCTGTGAGATCAAAAAGTCAAATCAGGTTGCTAAGATATAGTAGTTAGAAGATTAGGCTTTGTTGCGTGTGATCAGTTTCGTTAGAAAATTTAAGAATTAATAATAAATAATTTATTTATGATTTTCCTGAAATATCTCGTAATATTTGCTGAGGAATCCTGACATAAATAATTTCTTCGGAAATTGCAGCAAATTCTTGTCTAAAGGAGGGAGGGGTGGCTGCTCTCAGGGTTTTGTGGAATTGCTCCCAAGGTTTTTTAGTTGCTCTCAGGGTTTTGGAGTGCTCTCAGGGTTTTGTGGAATTGCTCCCAGGGTTTTGAAGTAGAATGTAAGAATTTATCCGACCTTTATGAAAAGTCCTTTAAAAAGAGTACTTTTAAACCGAAAATTGAAAAAAGCCTCTTCTACCCCTTTTTACTGTCTTTGTTAAGATATTTGCAGGAAAAATAAATGCAAAGGAATTGAGTTTTTGCCAAAAACTCTGATTTTCTAATTTCAATATCGTTGCAACCCAATGTCGTAGACCTTTAATATTTCAAACTATGAATGATATTAGATCAAATAATGTAAGTTTGAAATATTAAAGGTTTACATCAAAAGGTTGCAAAGATATAGATTATACAAAAACTGAATTTGTGACAAAGACTCAATTCCTTTCAGTTCAAGTACCCTTTGGCGGTCATATAGTTTTGATTAGGCAAACTGACGACATTTGTTTTTAGCTTATGCATTATAGAATACTGGTAAATCTATATAACTTATTATATTTCCAAGTTTTCTTTTCAGTAAAATCCAATTTTTCTTAGAAATATGGTAAGATGCATTAAGACCAGCTCAAATGAAATAATTATGTGTCTAATTAAAATAAAGAATTTTTTTTTACATCTACCAGTAATTTACCTGGGAGCAACTCCAAAACCCAAGGAGCCACTCCAAAATCCTGGGAGCACTGCAAAACCCTGGGAGCACCCACAACCCTGGGGGCAGCCACCCCTCCCTCTCTGAAGACTGCTTTTGTGTTTGCATTGTGCAGTTGGCTGTGCTAAAACTTTATCTTTTTGTCCAACAAAATATTTATATTGTTCAGGACATTTTCCATATTTATTTTATTTTATTTTCCCATCATCATTATTCAACATTGCTCAGTTTTTTTTCTAACATTTCTTTCTTTCTCCGGGTTTTGTTATTTTTATGATGATTATGGTAAAACATTGTGAAATATTGTTTCAAATATTTCTCAACAGATTTTTCATGCAAATATATACATTTCTTATCAAGCATAAATCAACAACAAAAGGTTTTGTTCACTAGTGTTGAGATTGATAAATTTCTATAAACACGCCAAGGGGAAATATAAATGTATTTTAGACAGAGGGGTTTACCACTTAAACACTGTATCAATATACAAAATACAGTACATGATACGCATACACTTTTTTAAAATACAGATTTCTTTGTAAAATTAACAAAAGTTAATGAAATGTAAATTCTGCATTGGGTCTTTTGCAGGTTTATTTATAATTCAGGGTTGTTCTTGAGTTTGGAAAGAAAACAGGTTCCCTTGAGACTGTAAAAGTAGAAGTCATATATAAAGAAAGAAAACCTTCTTAAACCTTCTCCCTTTGCGTACATTTGAACCCCTTTCTTCTATTTGAGCTACTAGCCTATACACTTATAAAATCGCTCGATATGAACTTGAAAGTTTTTTTAATCCATATAACTAGGGCCACACAAAATTATGTAGACTTGAAACCTAAAAAATGCTACGCGAATAAATCTTGCCATTACAACCGGGATTAAAACTCGTTTTGTAAAGATTTGAAAAAAGGAAAAGTTAGATTACAAAAAATATTTCAAAAATTAAAAAAAGATAAAAGTTTTAAATTCTTATATAAAAATTTTGTGTTTTTTTTATTTTGAGGAAAAAAACCTGAAGACAATGTTTTTTAGTTAATGAGGCTTACATAGTTCTTGATTGTTTGTATACAAATATATATTCATATTATGTTTCTTTAGTTGATTTTTTGTCTACGTTTATCAAGAATCTATTGAATGATATCCGGGGAATATAAATTTTTATCATTTTTGTGATTATCTCGTGTAATACTTGCTCTAAATTCTATCTACTACACACAGTACAGTGCTAAGGTATACGTGGACAAATTTATTTTATTGTTTCCTTTCTCTGTCAGTTTAAATTTATTAGTTCAGGGGGGGGCAGGGGAAGGGGGCGGGGTTAAACTGAGGAAATCCTATGGTTGCTAAAAACTAGGAGAGCTTTGAGGGGGTAGAGGAAAGAAATTATTCGTTCTTTATATATCTACTTTATTTGGGAAGTTTTGATAAGAATTTCAATTTGTTTTGCATTTTTTTCTTTTGAGTGTAATAATATATTTAAAAATCAGCCCCCCCCCCGTCTACAAAAAAGTGATACTCTTTTTGCATCACAATTACAACACAGTTTTGGACAGGGGGGGTTATAAATAAGAGATTTTTTTTAAAATAGATTTATTTAAATATTCATTCAAATTCCGGATCTTGTAATGTCTTGTCTTGAAGTGTTAGAATTGAAAGCTAGCAAATATCCTAGATTTATATATAAAGACAAATCATCACATTTCTAGGGGAAAGGGGGAAAGGGGGGAGATGGGGATATTTAAAAAAAAGCAATTGCACGTCTAGAAATTTCCTTACTAGCGAATTCTTTTATTTCACATATTAAATCACAATCGAAAATTTAAAAGCGCTTAAAGTTGTTGTTAAAAATAATTTGCAGTTTCTTAAAGTAAGGTATCTTTCTTTGAGGGGGATGTTAAGTTCTAAACTAACTTTAAAAAAATAATGTGAACCGTTGAGAGATATATTTTTAACAATATTAATGCACTTACAGTCCTGTCACTAATATCTAATCCTAAACCGGTCTTTACAAGAGTTACTCAACCACAGTTCAAGTTTTTATTCCTATTTGAGATTTGATAAATCACTATCTCCGGAGCAAAAACCTAACTCGGAGGAGAGTTTAGTTGCTTGATATAATATATAGATAATATTAAATTGACTGGAAGAAACTGAAGGATTGAAAAAGTTTTGTTATTAATCAAAGAAGGAAAACTAAAACTAATCTTGGATATCCTGTTGATGAAATAATTCAGGAAATATTTAATATCAAAAGTTACTTTCCCCTAGACTTGTATTTAATTACTCATACAGATTTTTTTAAAATATATATATTTTAACTGTACAAGTATTAAGTGTACAGTAAATGATTACTGTACAAGTATTAAGTGTACAGTATTTGCTTACTGTACATGTATGAAGTGAACAGTATATGTTTACTGTACATGTATGAAGTGTACAGTATATGTTTACTGTACAAGTATGAAGTGTACAGTATTTGCTTACTGTACATGTATGAAGTGAACAGTATATGTTTACTGTACATGTATGAAGTGTACAGTATATGTTTACTGTACAAGTATGAAGTTTACAGTATATGCTTACTGTACAAGTATGAAGTGTACAGTATATGTTTACTGTACAAGTATGAAGTGTACAGTATATGTTTACTGTACAAGTATGAAGTGTACAGTATATGTGTAGTATTTACTGTAAGAGTATGAAGTAAACAGTATATGTTTATTGTAAGAGTATGAAGTGTACAGTATATGTTTACTGTAAGAGTAAGAGGTGTACAGTATATGTTTACTGTACAAGTATGAAGTGTACATTTCCATATTAGAAGTATGTAGCCAGCAGCTAGAAGGCATATTTATACAATTTAACACTTGAGTCAAGGAATAAGTCACGTCTGAAATTCATTGAACCCAACTGTAGGGTTCACGTGTAAATGTCTCGTTATCTGGGGGCAGGACGGAGAAAGAAGCAAATCTTAGTTTTGTGCACACAGATTTGTCCCAACATGGGCACCATGTCATTCAGATAAATATGCGGATTGTTCAGTTTCTGATTTTGGGCATTCTTAATCTAGATAATTTACAGGAGAGTGGTTTACATATTTAGACTAGACCCCTGGCTGGACTTGTCAGATAAATTCTGCAAATATCAAGAGGAAACGAGATTTAACTCGGAATTAAAGGGACTGTCCGCTTCGAGGTTATAGGGACTGAGAACCAGGGGCGTATTCAGCAATTTGTCCAAGGGGGGGGGGCTTAAATTTGTTCTCTTTCTAGGGGGGGGTCTCAGCACCCGTCGGGGGCCTGAAAACCCCCTGAAATCAATAGATTTCACTGGTCCCGGGGGGGGGGCTTAGCCCCCATAGCCCCCCCTGAATACGCTTCTGCTGAGAACTAAGATTTATATCCAGTTAATTGAGAAATTCACCAGGATTTAAATTCAGTATAAACAAATTTTCAGATAGGTTTAACATTTATGAGTTATTTAATGATTGATACAGGTGCTCCTTTTTTTCCATGAAATTAGAAATATCCTGTTTTGCTTGAAGTAAACAGCAACCCTGGAGCGTAATTAGTTCTTCCATGGTCTGCTGCTTGTAATAATTATTCAATACAGTACTCCGATCCGTCTTATTTTTAGAACTCAGCAAAACTCAATCCCACTTTTAGGTGTAAACATTTGTGGATGTAGTTGAATTTATGTTTGGTATTATTGTTTTGAATTGTACAAAATAATATGTTTTTATTTAATTTTATTTTACAATGAGGGAAATGAATGAAAATGAAATGAAATGGAATACGTTAACATATATATTATTCAATAAACAAATGTTAGTGATTCACAAAACAAAGAAAAATATAAAAGAAATGTTCGAGAAATGTAAAGCATAAATCAATTCAATAAATTCAAATTTACATTGAAATATAGGTCTGAAGCTGTAAAGAGAAAAAGAGAAAAAATAAAACATAAAATAAATACAAATAAAAAACTTATGTTATACGAGAAAATCCTGGCCAATTAATCAAGGGTTTCCGATTGAGAAATCTCTCTCTCCATCTCTTTCTCTCAACAACAACAAAAAAGAAAATACAGATTCCTAAATAACATATTTTTTCTAGATTAATGAGTGGTATGTTTTTAAAATCAACTTGAAGACGCGTTTTAATTCTGAGTAATTCATAACTATTAATCTATAGGACCGATTACTCGCCTCAAACTCTCAACATTATATATGTTTAAACTGATGTTGTAGACATTAGCTTTTTCAAACTAAATGGAATAGTCAAAATTTGAAAAATTAAAGGCTGCAAAGATATAGGGATAATTAGTTACAGTTCTCTTACATTTTTCTAAATTCATTGTAATATCATCAAGTTTATCATTTTAATATAACAAGTATTCTTTAAACATTTATTTAATCTTATTAAATATGGATTATGTCGTCCATTTCTAGCTTTAAAAGAGTTTAATTCACACAATTTTCCTCCATTGTTTCTGTAGCAATTAATTCGAAAGTAAATTTTTGGAAAACCCTCAATTGAAAATTATCCAAAGAGAAATCATGGATATCTCATTCATTCTTAAAGAGACCAAGATGTTAAGGGTATTGTGAATCAAACATGCAACTCTCTAATTGGAACTTGAAATAAAGTCTACAATCCCATTAAATAGTAAAGGAATTGAGTTTTTGTAACAAAATCAATTATTTAAACCCCAATATCTTTAGAACCCGTTGTTGTAAACCTTTGATATTTCAAACTCTGATTATTTGATTTAAAAGAATTCATAGTTTGAAATATCTAAGGTATACAACATTTGGTTTCAAAGATATAGTGATTAGAAAATCAGAGTTTGTGGCAAAGATTCAATTCCTTTATAAATAGAATATTTTATGAACACAGGGGTATATAATTACAAAAATTAATAATTTTAAGAAAGGTTTTGAGTTTTCCCCACAAACTCTGATATTTTAATTAGTCTATCTTTGCAACCCAATGTCGGAGACCTTAGATATTTTAAACTATAAACTCTGTTAGATCATGTAATCTAAGTTTGAAATATCAAAGGTTTACACCGCCAGGTTGCAAAGATAAAGAAAATGGAATATTCAATCTGTGGCAAAGACTGAACTCCTTTGAAAAAAAGAGTTTACAATGATGAGAAAAATGACTTTGATGGTGTGTGGGGGGGGGGGGTCAAAATAAGACTTAATCCTCTTTGATACTTTTTGCCCAAAAGTTAATTTCCCCCCCCCCCCCCCAATTTAGCGATACACACCTTACTCTGGGAGGGGGGTAATACATTTTCAAGAAAACATATACCCCATAGTGAGTATCCTATGAAAGTTGTTTAGCTTGTTATATTTTAGCTGAGTGTGGAGACTATGCAGGCGAGGATTATCCGGACCATACTTACCTTTCTACATACAACTTCGTGCCTGGCCAGGATAAAGAACTTCAGAGGAAAATAATGGAGAACCATAAAAAACACACGTAAGATAATTTTTTTCTTATGTTTGTGAAAAAAGACTTAATTTTGATTTCATTTATTTTGCGCATATTTTGGCACATTTTCGATATATGATTCTACACTTCTTTGCTTAAAAGCAAATATTGAAACTTTTATTGAGTTGCAACTGTAAAAGTATAATAAATTCAAATAATTGTGTATTTCTCTGGTTCCTAGTTTAAGCCTCAAATCTAACTTAAAGCTGAATCAAAGTTTAAATCCCCGGTTAGATGAGTAGAAGCTGGAAGCAAAGTTCATATTAACTACAAAATGAAAATATTTTATTGCATATATTTAAACCAATCTCATACTGCTATAAATACGATTGTAAAAGCGAATATATTCTTAACTTTGTTGTGTCTCTCTTCGTAAATATTTCACACATTTTTTATTCTTTTGATTTGAGAGTTGTAAACTGGAAATCTATTTCCATACATTGAAACCCTTAATAACGAATACATTGGAAAAATTTATTAAATGTCGTCTTGACAATTTTTCAATAAGTTTCATACTATATTACGTAAATTTCAGTATTAGCGAAAATAGAAAAATAGCCATCAATATGCGGGAACAGTTTTAAAGAGTTCCATATAATCATTTAATTAAAAAACTAAATATCGGCAACATTCCATTATCAGAAAGTGAAGAAAACGACATTTTATGAATTCTTTCGATATATTCGTTATTAAGGGTTTCACTGTAGTTTTTATTTGAAAGTTGTAAACTGGAAATCTATTTTTATAGTTTGGATTTGAAAGTTGTAAACTGGAAATCTATTTTTATAGTTTGGATTTGAAAGTTGTAAATTGGAAATCTATTTTTATAGTTTGGATTTGAAAGTTGTAAACTGGAAATCTATTTTTGTTTGAAGGTTGTAAACTGGAAATCTATTTTTATAGTTTTGATTTGAGAGTTGTAAACTGGAAATCTATTTTTATAGTTTTGATTTGAAAGCTGTAAACTGGAAATCTATTATTTTAGTTTTTATTTAAAAGTTGTAAACTGGAAATCTATTTTTATAGTTTTGATTTGAAAGCTGTAAACTGGAAATCTAATTTTTCAGTTTTTATTTAAAAGTTGTAAACTGGAAATCTATATTTATAGTTTGGATTTGAAAGCTGTAAACTGGAAATCTATTTTGATTTGAAAGTTGTAAACTGGAAATCAATTTTGCTTTAAACTTCCTTCCCTTATTTCCGTTCCAATCAAAAGTTCGCAATTTTATGTTTTTGTATTTTCACAGATAATTTACATTTTTATTTTTAAAGTTCTGTATTCATGTTAGACTCTTCTTTTATGTTTCCCTGGTTATGATCTGTTCTCTATTAAATTTTAAAATCGGACAGGTTTATTTAAACTTCTGGTTTATTTAAACTTCTGGTCATTGATCGCGCTTTACGTATTTCTTTTTAAGTGGAAAAAGGGGAATACTGTAATAATTTAAGAATAATTTTGCATTATGAAGAAAAAATAGTCAGTGAACCCAATTGTCAAATCCCTTTTCCTCTTTTAAATTCAGTTTTTTGTTTCTATCTCCCATTTTGTTCAGATATTCTTATTAATTTAAATGGTCCACCATGGTCACTTCAGAATATATTCCGATACAGCCAGGTCATATTTAGATCTAGTAACTATTAAGCTAGGAGTGTGGACCGTTGAAAGAATAAATATATTCTTGAACGTGTTGCAAACTCCAGAATAGTTTTCCAATAAACTCCATTTTCTTCAGGGAAAATTCTCTAAAATAGTAACTTGGATAAATTTATTGGATCGGGAGCAGCTGATAAAAATATACTTGATTCGTTCTAAAAAATCAATGCAATACAGACCATTCAGACTTTTAAAGATCCTTTATTAAATAGTTTTCATTTTTTTAGGGAAAAAAGTTTTATGAATCTTCACTTCTGAGAGCATAAAGGAATTGAGTCTGTGCCACAAACGCAAGTTTTCTAATTTCTATATCTTTGCAACGTGATGATGTAAACCTTTGATATTTCAAACTTAGACTATTTTATCTTACAGAATGCATAGTTTTAAATAATTATCTAAGGTCTACGACATTGAGTTGCAAAGATAGCGGGATTAGAAAATCAGAGTTTGAGATATTTGAATAATATAAGAAATGGTTTTTGGAGTATCACATTTAATATCAAAATTGAAAGCAAACATTAAAGTTTTTTAATGTTTATACAAAGCTTTAATTAATAATTGAAACTTTTGAAGTTGGTATTTTTGAAATTTCTATTTTTATAAAACTAAAAACTAGATGGCAGGATATAATGAAACCTATTCTAAATATAAATATTCTTTGAGCTTATAATGGTTCCCTTGACACTGGTAAACAAGCAAAACATAAATTTTAACAAACATTATTTTAAACAAAGATCATCTGCAGAGAGTATCGAGTTGGCTTTTATTTTACAATAAAAATAAACTTAGTTAAGTTCTTTAGAACTGAACAGGAAGACACATACAATTAAAACAAACGTGCATAGATGAACATTGCCTCAGAAATTACTGCCCCGTCTTCATATTTATGTTGAAATACTGTGCGTTGTGTAAATGATACAGAATCTGTTTGAAGCTTTGTCTAGTAATCCATTAATCCGTGTTAGTGTGGATCCATCAACAGAATATATTCATTAAAACTTTACCCTGGTTCCTCAGAATATAACTTTACCCTGGTTCCTCAGAATATAACTTTACCCTGGGCCCTCAGAATATAACTTTACCCTGGGCCCTCAGAATATAACTTTACCCTGGTTCCTCAGAATATAACTTTATCCTGGTTCCTTAAAATATAACTTTACCCTGGGCCCTCAGAATATAACTTTACCCTGGGCCCTCAGAATATAACTTTACGCTGGGCCCTCAGAAAATAACTTTACCCTGGGCCCTCGGAATATAACTTTACCCTGGGCCCTCGGAATATAACTTTACCCTGGGCCCTCGGAATATAACTTTACCCTGGTTCCTCAGAATACAACTTTACCCTGGGCCCTCAAAATATAACTTTACCCTGGTTCCTCAGAATATAACTTTACCCTGGTTCCTCAGAATATAACTTTACCCTAGTTCCTCAGAATACAACTTTACCCTGGGCCCTCAGAATACAACTTAACCCCGGTTTCTCAGAATATAACTTTACCCTGGTTCCTCAGAATATAACTTTACCCGTGGTTCTCAGAATATAACTTCACACTGGGCCCTTGCAATATATCTTTACCCTGGGCCCTCAGAATATAACTTTACCCTGGTTCCTTAAAATACAACTTTACCCTGGTTCCTCAGAATATAACTTTACCCTGGGTTCTCAGAATATAGATTAATTTTACCTTTTATATTAATGTAAAATGTGTAATCGGAGTATTCTTTAATCTGAGAACTAATTTATTCGTTCAGAAAAATTAGTCATCACTTTTTTAATAAGTTATCAGCTCCCTGCAGCCTCTGCAGTCTGAAAACTGACATTAATTAGGTTTTCCGTTTGCAAAGTTTTTGTCATACATGGTGGTTGTTCCCACTCATTTTCGTATCGGGTTTTAGCTCATCAGAAATTAAATTTTTTGTTCTTCTAAACACTTTTTTTGCTGAACTATTCGTTTAAATTCATATTTTCCATATGTTACACAATGTTTAATGGATTTTGAATTACGGATCAAAACATGCCTTAGTTTTTTTCCCAACATAGCCCTGACATACCAAGCTACTAGAACTTATAGTTAAGCGTCAGCCAGGGACAGAAATATATCTTCTTTTTTGGGACTTTTTTTTATCAAATTAACGTTGAGGAAATGAAATTGTCGGAATGAATAGAAGCTAGAGGAATGTTTTTATGAAACAAAACTATAATAAAAATATTCTTACATTAATATATGTATGCTGCATAATAACATTTCATGAAATATATAAGAGGGAATTCGTGAATAACTTACAAATGTCTATTTATATTTATATTCACTATAGCGTTGGAACTCAGCTTTACCTGAAAACTAAACCTGAACATAGATTTTGTATGCTGAATTATTCTTGATGAAGTAAACAAAACTGCAAAGAGTAATTTAATGCTTTTAATTGAAAATAATATTTAGAGGACAGTCGCCTGGTGAGGCTGACCTCAACCTCCTTGAGACTGCTAGGCGCTGCGAACTCTATGGGATAAAAATGCATCTTGCCAAGGTAATATTGTTATTATTACTATTATTGTTATTGTTATTATTATTATTATTATTATTAGGACCACGTTATTATTATTATTATTATTATTATTATCATTAATTCCAGGACCACGAATCAGTTGCTTTAAACCTGTCTGTAGCGCATATGGGTGTTCTTGTGTTCCAGAACTACACCAAGATTAACACCTTCTCTTGGGCCAAGATTAGAAAACTCAGCTTCAAGAGGAAAAAATTCCTGATTAAACTTCATCCGGAGGGTTATGTAAGTAAATAATATTTTTATCAAAAGTAAAACAATTATTTTATCATTTTATGTTATTTTATTTACACAAATGATAACTGAGCGAATAAGGGGAGGGGGAGGTTTTGAGATTCTGCCTTTATTAGCTTGTCAATTCTGCGGAGAAGCTTAAGACCTAGTTATTTAGCAATTGTGTCTATGTGTGTCTGGGGGGTTACTTGTCTATTCAGTATTCACACTAAAATCCTTTTCAATTCAAGTCTCAGCCCAATTCTTCTTAACAAACAGTTTCTTAAAGCATGAACTTAAAAACTTGAAAGTTTTAAACATTGACAAGTTTTTATTTTCTGTTGAATTGTGTGAGGGAAGAATGAAGCTAATCTATTATAGCCTGAGGTACGGATTTATACAAAAGTGTTCTCGTGTGCCTTTTCAAGATTCATATTTGAAATCTGATTTTGCTGAGAGAAACAAGAAACATGGACTAAATGTCAGATCTCGGTGAATGTGTGAAACTAGAGAACAAACCATTTATATAGTTTTTATTAGAAAATGTATTGTATGTTTTTATATAATACTTCTAAACTTCTGCTGCTTAGGGAGTTAAACATGTAAGTTGACAAGGTCATTTTTACCCCTTTCCAGATCTTTTTATCTATTTTACCCTTTTTTACAACTTTTCTTTATTTACTCTTTTATGTGGATCCAGTTATTCCATAACAACTAGTTATTCCTTAACAACTAGATCAACATAGAATAGTACTTAGGACTTCGAAAAAGAATTGAGTCTTTGCCACAAACTCTGATTTTCCAATCCCTAATTCTTTGCAACCTAATGTCGTAGACCTTAGATTTTTAAACTATGTTTTCTATTTGATTAAATAATCTAAGTTTTAAATATTTGACGATTAAACCATCAGGATTAGAATATTTGAGTTTGTCATGACTCCATTTCTATGTTTGAAATTGGTCTACACACTTCACGACTTTTCCCTTTAGGTAGGATTAGACTCTAAACCTAAGCTGTATACACATAACAATACAGTTCTTGTTCTCTACCTTCACCCGTAACCTTTCCACGATGAAAGAATAACCTACGTTCAATCTGAAAAAAATGTTAGGCATTAAAGTGCATGAAATTCAGATTTCTGATCTAAAATAAAATCAATGATTTATTAGCTTTAAGATGAACTGTCATTAAGAAGATATATACTATATACTGTAGAGTTAATTCATAGATAGAAAGAAGATATGATGCTTTTAATAGTTTTCTTCAGAAAACTATCGAAATCTATGTATTTTTCCCTTCATCCTTTCCATTTTTTTTATCTATAAAATTCTCGCATCTCTATAGTTGTGGTCGACTAGTAAGTACAGATTTAACAAATAATACTTCATTTTTTATGAGTTAAACTGAATAGCTGTTTTTTCAGGGATACTACAAGGATATTGTGGAATTCTATTTCGAGGAGAGAAACCAGTGCAAGAACTTCTGGAAAAAATGTGTTGAGCATCATGGATTCTTCAGGAATAAACCTATATCAACCTTTCAAGTTTTTTCACGGAGTAAACACATACATCTTAATCAACCTTTCAAGTTTTTACACGGAGTAAACATATACATCTTAATCAACCTTTCAAGTTTTCACACGGAGTAAACATATACATATATCAACATTTCCACACGGAATAAACGTATTAACCTTAATTTACCTTACCACACGGAGTAAACATATACATCTTAATCAACCTTTCAAGTTTTCACACGGAGTAAACACATACATCTTAATCAACCTTTCAAGTTTTCACACGGAGTAAACACATACATCTTAATCAACCTTTCAAGTTTTCACACGGAGTAAATATATACATCTTAATCAACCTTTCAAGTTTTTACACGGAGTAAACATATACATCTTTATCAACATTTCCACACGGAATAAACGTATTAACCTTAATTTACCTTACCACAAGGAGTAAACATATAAACCTTAATAAACTTTTTTACACGGAGTAAACATATACATCTTAATCAGCCTTTCAAGTTTTCACACGGAGTAAACTTATACATATTAATCAACCTTTCCACACGGAGTAAACATATAAATCTTAATCAACCTTTCCACACGGAGTAAACATATACATCTTAATCAACCTTTCCACACGGAGTAAACATATACATCTTAATCAACCTTTCCAAACGGAGTAAACATATACATCTTAATCAACCTTTCCACACGGAGTAAACATATACATCTTAATCAACCTTTCCACACGGAGTAAACATAACCATCTTAATCAACCTTTCCAAACGGAGTAAACATATAAACTCAGCCATATATAAATCTTCAAAGTCTTCTGTAACTCAAAATTTTATTTTCCATCTTTTGTGAAATTATGAAAAATATTCACTCTGGCAGAAGATATATGCTTAAACAAAGCAAAACCAATCGTTTGTTAACGAATATTTAATAAATCTGTCAGGTGTGTATCTTCTGCCAGAGTCAAGATTTTGCATAGTGTAACAAAAGCAAACTTTAAGGCAATACAATTTTAAAATACGGTGAATCCCATATATATGAATAAATAGACCGTCTTAAGTTTGTTGATATTTCTAAAGAAACTTATTTTTATTTTTAAATCAAAGGTAATATGAATGCAATTTATATATTTATATTAAACTCATTTTTCCGCGGCATTTGATCTTAAATATTTATAAAAAACCCTTGATATGTTTTCATATATTTGGGATTCACTGTATGAAATCTCAGATTTTTATTGAGTCTTCTGTAAGTCTAAAAATACTGTATATTTAATAAACAGATAATAATGATGCTCAAAACTTTGTTTAAGTTCGCACCGACTAATATGTAGCTTACATTAAGATTTAAATGCCTGGATATATTTTAATCTAATTTATGCCAAATCATATTTGGGTTGACCGAGGTTACTAATGTCAGGTGTTCAGAGACTCCTGTTAGAAACAGAGAAAAACCTAAAATAATTAGCAGAGGTTCATCATTCAGGTCAGCTTGTTTATTCTGCGTTTAATCAAGAGATCCTCAGGATTAGAGATTAAAACTTTTGATCTTTAAAATGTTGGGCCGGGTTTCCTTGTTTTATAATTTTGTACTTTTAAAGTCTATAAATATACGGTTACTTACATAATGTCAAGTTTTAGAGACATCGTTGTTGTGTGGTCAATAATGCATTTTTGTTTTTACCCTAATTGGGCGTATATAAATAAATAATTTAATTATCTTTTCGGACAGAAGTTTTAATTTTATTTTGTATTTTTAGAATTGTTAAATGTTTAGGTATAGCGGGAGAACACAGAAACAAATGCAGGAGCATGTCAGAGAAAACTTTGTTAAGCGGCAGTCATTCCAAAGGTATTGTATTAAATTAATTAAAACTTACTGTTGCGTTACTGGCAGTGCGTAGGATCCATACCATTTGTGCCACTGAAGTAAATCCAGATTGAGCTTACAAGTTTTTTTATTTTTTAAGAAGGAAAATTATTTTTAAAACTAATTCTCTTTTAATATTTTTTTGTATCCTAAATCTTTATTGACCAACTAGCTGAAGTTGCCCGTGAAAAAAAATTAGATTTTTGAAGAAAAAAATCGCATTTTTTAAGCCTATGTTGCCCCCGGGATACTCAAGGGTTCCCTCAAAAATGTCTGCCAATTTGGTCCAGCCGTTTGGCCAGCCTTAGCTAACATAAATAAAAATATATGTACATATATGCGAAGAGCTTTATAATATCGTTTAGGGGAAGTACTGATGGGTGTAATTTACCTGGGGTTCAGAATAACTCCTGCAGTTTACTTTAAATAAATAAAATATAGATAGATGAAAGATCAGGGTAGTTTTACCTATCCATGATATTCAACAATTGTTTCGAGAGAATTTTTTGTATGTTAAACTTTTCAGATTTTCCAGAAGCTTTTTTAAAAACTAAAAGCGGATATTATAGACTTCTTAGCTTTAAGCAATAAGGGAGGGGAGAAAGGCCAACCACATCAATCTCTAGTCCGAACCACATTCTCCTCATTCTCTCGTCCGAACCACCTCGAAATCCTCGTCCTTTCTATATTATTTTTTTTAAAGTGTCTAATCCTTCCATATATAACTATTTTTTAAGAATCAAGCCACGTTAGGGCATAAATGAAATATCAAATTTTTGTAAATCAAAGTAAAAAGTTTCAATTGAATTAAAGATTTCAAGTTTAATTTAAAATTCAGTGATGGTGATGGACCAAACCTCTTGTAGAGTAAAACAGTAGATGTTAGTTCCACATTTATTGAAAATATATTTCGGTCTGGGTTGACCCTCGTCAGTTCTAACGATATAATAACCATCAAAATCGATAAAAAAAATAAAAAATGTAAAAATCACAAGAAGATAAACAAACAAAAAGATTATTCAAAATAAAAAATTGGGCTGTCAAATGGACATAAGGGAAAAGAACTCAGATTATGAGATGGAAAAAAGATAATTTGCAAATATTCACTTTCTAAAAAAATGTTTTAAGACAATTATTATTCCTTGAGATTGTTTCTTCACAAAGATTCAAAACAAATTGTGTAGATGTTTGAATATAGAGTTTAATGTCCTTAAAAATGTACACCTTTTTAACGCGCATTTTCAGATATTCCTGGTGTATAATGCCGCAAATAATTCCAAGTTTATAGAACTTTAATCTTTTTTGTTAACTATAGTGAAAACCATAGAATTTTTCCGGGTGGTTCCATGGGGAAAATTATAGGCAGAGGTATGCCGAATATTTTGCTATTTATTTTATATCACGAAGGTTAGCCATTATGGAGGCAGAAGAGATTTAAGTTTTACATAAATAATGTTTGACATCATTCTCGTGGATTTGAAGATTCCAACATCTCAAAATCCTTGGAAAACTTTATTCTATCTCATGTTCTATGCCCTAACGTCGCCATATTTTTAAAAAATGTATTTATTTTCAAGGATCGGACACTTTAAAAAAAATAATATTGAAAGGACGAGGATTTCGAGGTGGTTCGGACGAGAAAATTAGGAGAATGTGGTTCGGACTAGAGATTGATGTGGTTTGCCTTCCTCCCCTCAATAAGGGGATTATGTAATCATATTCAGAGGTCGGTGATTTGTTACACTGTGCAGTGTCTAGTTATTCTTCATATCCAATTTGGGCATTTTAAAATTGGATGATAAATGCTTGATCCCTCAATTAAAGTTATCTACGCTTGGTATGACCGCCACGGAATACTCACTTCAGACCGTAATTGATTCTGTAATAACTGGTTTTGAGACAGTTTTTTTAATTTCTTCTTTTTTAAATCCTTTAATTTTTAGACATGTTGGTTCTCTGCACGGAAGTATGGGTAATGTCGGGATGAGTGTTTCCGCCCAACCCCTTCTACCCCTCGGAGACAACCATGTTGGTATGTACAAACAATATGTACACCATGTACACCTAGTACGCCTAGTTCACTTTGTACACCTGGTTCACCTCAGCCTGTAATTTAAGAAAGTATTTCTTAAAAGCAAACTCACTTTTTGATTTTTAAACAAATGATTTTTTGCAATGACATTATATAGAAAAACTAAAACTTTCTACCTGGCGGTGTAGAACCTTTTGATATTTCAAACTCAGATTATTTGATTTAACAGAATTCATAGTTTGAAATATCTAAGGTCTACAACATTGGGTTGCAAAGATATAGAGACTAGAAAATCAGAGTTTGGGGAAAAAACTCAATTTTTTATCAAAACAGTTTTTTCACCCACAGAACCCTTGTCTTAAGTTTCAGGGTGAGGTACACCTTGTAAACCACTCTTCTTCGTTTCACACTTTCACACTATATTTCCAATTTTCAGCTTTTCTTCAAAGTTAACCAAACTAACTTAACTAACCTTACAGGAATAAAACGTTTTCATATTTTCAAGTTTTGAACTATGTATCAAAGAATAATTTCTACTTTTTAAGTTTTTTTTCTCTTTTTATTTTGTTTTTTTTCCATTCTGAAATGTAGTGAATTAAAAGTTGAAAACTTTCAAATCAAGAAATCAGATTAATATTTTATTTTGTTCACATTTATTTTTATTAAGAATTCTAAAAAACGTTTTATTCCTGTATCTTGGAGAGTTTCTCAAGTTTCCTTTTTCCACTTTAATCTTGAGCATGTATAGTTAGATGGATTATATTCATGTTTTATCTAAAAAACAACCTTGCATCTCAATATCCGGGTGTCAGGATAAATTGATGAGAACAATCTTTAATCAGAACGCTTCCGTTTATTGTATTCAACAAGATGTTCAGCTTCATAACGGGTTGGACTGAGCTTAGTTGGAGGTTTTATATTAAGCTAATATAACAACTGGCAGAAATTTCTGTTCGAAAATTGGTTTTCTGTCTTTAAAACTTTTCATTCAATTAACAATATTTCTTCAATTAATATGCCTTTTTTAGTGTATGGAGATATGTTTATTTATATAAGTAAATAAATAATGTATTTTTTCGCAAAAAAAATCCCTGCAATTCTAATGAATATAATCCATCTTCCTCTTCTTACTAACCATACTAACCTTCCTAACTCTCTTCTAGTTGGTACATCGGCTTCTGTTTCCTGTGGTTCTATGAATCTATTTCCTGACGACCATAGGTCTGTATACTCAATGGGGCGGACGGTATCCAGGCTCAGAGATTTTGATGATTTCTCAATGGATTCTCCATATTCGGGTCGGAGACCGTCTAGTCACACAGCCTTTGTCCCCCAGCCTTGTTCTCCTGGTTCAATGGATTCTAGTCCTCGTAGATTGGTTTATGGTGTACAACATTTACCTAATTTTCATCATGATCATCTACATCACCAGGAGCAGGATCAACTAGGGATAAATACTCTTCAACCAAACTCTCAGAGAAGAGAGCGTGCTCGGGAAGCGCTCCTGAGACGAAACCTTTGTGATTTTAATGTGTCCCTAGAGAGCGGAGCAACAAATTCAGTTTCCTCTAGGACCGGAACCACAGAGCTTAGGACGGATCCTACTGTTGTCCCCAATTTCTCTGGTAGAATGGATCATCAGGGAAAAAATCAATCTCAGTCTAATACTTCTCTTCACTCCAACCAATCTGCAAAATCTGAGGACCCGGATTCAATTGATCATCTCTCCTCTGAGGACAACCTTAGTCATGAGTCCTACGACCTCCTGGATAAAGAAGAGGAGGCCCAGATTAACTCATTCTCCGAGAATATGAAAACTGTTCTCTCCAGATCTGAACTTTCATTCGATAATTCAGTTTCATACTCTCAACCCCTGTCCATGCCTCCAACTCCGAATAGAGTTGAAAACCTGGACGGAAACTTTGTTTTAGATAATGATCCAGGTCAGTCAACACGGGATGATGTTAACAGCAATGTTAAGAACAAGATTAATAACCACTCCAGCACCCACTCTAGCAGGTTGTCAATAAACAGCTCAGGGATGTCGACAAGTCCTGTTCCAGATTCAGTTAATCTCCAGAAACCTGTATCTACGCTGAGTAGAAGAAGATCATCGGGTTCAGGTTCTCAGAAGTCCAAGAGCTCCAAGGGGAGTAAGAGTGGGAGTGGATCTAGGATTAGTCTAAAAGATGAGCAACAAGAAAACCAAAACTGTTTTCAGGGTCATGAAGTTCATCAGGAAGATAATATTTCCTCGACCTCAAATATTCAATATTTTCCAAAAAATAAATCTAAACAAGAACTTAACAGGAATGGAGGCAAAGTTAGAGACGATTCTAGAGATAGCGGAATGCACGAAAGTTTGATCTTCCAGAGCCCTACAAACTTAAAATACTTTTCTTCTCACATCAGCCCTCAACCCTACAGTTCTAGAACTCTACCAGGGAAGAAGAGAAGAGAAAAATCTCCAATAACCTTTACACGAGGAAAACTGAGTGTTGATTGTTCCTCTAATTCCTCCAGTAGCCACGCTTCCCCCCGGATATCTCGACCGAAATCCCTGGATTTCTCTGTCATTGCACTGACAGATCTTCCAAGAAAGAATGCATATTCCTACAGGGATGATACTATAGATCAACACGATTTCGAGGATAGTTCTTCAGCTCTCAGTGCTCAAAATGAATTGAATTATGCATCAAGTTCTGATGTTCCTCCGACTCCAGAAAACCCGGAGCTTCCAATGATCAGTGCAACCCGGAGCTTTAACTCGTCTCTGAAAACGAACCAACCTTGTAACTATAAACAAGTAGAAGAACGGATTTATGATATTCCGGAAGGAATAGAGAGAGAACTTCGCTCTCATTCTCCGATATCTGAGACATATTCAAAGAAACCTTTTCCTCCCAAATATTATATGGATCAGACTAAGTTTAAAACCTACCTGGAGATATCAGGAAAGTTTTCCTCTGAGGATTCTGAATCAGTTTCCAACCGTCTGAGCTTTAAAGTTTTACCTCCTCCCAGGGTGATCAATAAAGTTTCATCAACTGAGAGTGAATCAGCTCCTTCTAACCATTCTGTACCTGCAGCAGTTCATTTTGATTCGGACACCCTGTCTCTCCCTCTGGATTTGTTGAGCCCCCCAATGGAATCTGAGAGCTCTGGAGCACTGGTTGAATCTGAAAGTTTGCCCGCACCTCCACAGTTTGGAAGTAACAAGGACGATACGGATATTGAAGATGACGTAACTCCTAAAGGAGAGGATTTAACCCCGGACTCTCTCGATTTATGCAATGATACAAATACTATAAAGAAGAACAAACATAGTTCTCTCTCTCAAGCAAATGTAAGACAGGAATCAACATATGAAACGAGAGCTGAAGCTGTCCTGGAGTCACAGCTCACTACTGAATCCTTTCAGGGTGATTTAGAACCGCAACCAGACATTTTGGATTCAGTTACAGAAATAGATTCACGACCAAATCTGGGGAAAAGACGAGAAAGTGCTTTACTTCGTGCTCTTGACACATTTGATTCATTCAACCTGGAGCATGAGTTTCCGGTAACCCGGAGACAGGAATCAACCTACGAGGATAGAGCCGAGGCTATGCTGGAGAAACAAACTACAATAGATTCGTTTACTTCACAGAACTCAATTGATGATAATGTATTCCTGGATTATCCAGGGCCTCCTGATCCTCAGGAAGTATGTCCTGTTAATACTAGGGAAACTCTTCTAGAATCTCAGAGTACTTTTGAGTCTTTCACAACAGAGTGTGAGGTTCTTATCACAAAGAAAGAGGAATCAACCTACGAAGAACGTGCGGAAGCTCTTCTTGAGTCACAAAATACAATTGAATCTTTCACTACTGAAGTGCCAAATGATGAAAACGTTTTTAGAGAGGAATATGATTTTAATGAATCTTTTGATTCGTCGGGAAGACTGTTACAACACTTTCAATCTTCAGATGCCAAAGAAGTCTTAATAGCAGACATGTATGTAAAAAAAGTTGGTAGCAATGAATCTGTTTCTACAAATGGTGAATCAGAATTTGATACGGTTCCTTTCCAGGAGGATGGAGTTAATGTAGACTTAAACGAGTGTACTTGCAATGACAGCTACTGTTTTCGAAATGTTGTTCCTCCTCCTTTACAGAATCCTGTGTTTATACCCTCATCACGCAGCAGCAGCGGAAGTAGTTTTGATTGTCCGCTCAACCTGGAACTAAGCACTGACGCTGATACTCCTGTCAGAGATCTGTCCAACAGCTGTCTAGATTTTCCTACCGGTCCATACGATATCGTGGATCCACAGCATTCCTATCCGGAGGAAGATTTCGGTTCTTATATTCTCCAGAAACCTGTTGGATTCAGAGACGGATTCCTAGGTCCGTTTCACCAGAGAACTCTATCACGGATTAGTGAAAAGAGTTCTAATGAGTCAGGATCCCCACAATCAGATGGCCCGCCTCCACCTTACGCAGATAATACTTCAGTTAGTGATCATGAGGAACAAAACTATACAACAAGTGAAGATAATGAAAATGCTCCAAGTATTAGCTCTGACTTACCGGAGAACATGGGTCCACACCTGGAGCTACAGCCGAACCCGTCTTTTGATGATGTTCAGGTTGAATACAATATGTCTCCTCCCAGCTCTAACATTGAATCTCCCAAGATAACTGAATTTACACAGATAGATCAGGATACTTTAGAGGAGGACCTAGATGATACAAATGCAGAAGAGATCAAGACTGAAGAACGCAATTCTCCTATAGAGATTCATCCTGAGATGTCTAACTCTATATCCAGTGAAAACAATAATACAAACAGGGACTTGGATGGTTCTCTCCATGACTCTATGGAGATCCTTGAGGATGTAAACACTATTGACTATTTTGACAATGAAGAAAAACAATCCTATGATGAAAATGTTCCAGATGTTAGCATACCAGAAAACGTTAAAGAAAACGATGGCGAACTATCTGGATTATTTCAGATCAAACCAGATGATTTTGAATCCGGAACCTATAACACCGGACAAGAAGACATGCATTCTGGAAGCAGCAAGACTAGACCAGAGGATTGTGTAACAGATAGTTATCACACCAGAGCAGAGGAACCAGAAACTGAAAGTTACCAGACAAGACCAGATGATGATGAATCTGGAAGCCTCCCAATAAGACTAGAAGATATTGTTTCTGAAAGTTGTTTACCTAAACCAGAAAATGTTGAATCAAGATTAGAGGGAAACTATCAGACCAGACCTCGTGATATATCTGATCATTCTGGTAGATATGTAGTCAAGGAAGGTTCAGAAGAACTGATGTTCTAATCAAGTATTAGATTCACAGTGGGACACATTTTTATAAAGTATTAATCTTCCCTAGACCTTTTTGCTCAAATCGTTCATTTCAACAAATTAAAATTAATTAAATTCTGCATGTCTAGGTTATCAATGGACAAGTTGTCAAATTATTAATTTTCAAATTGTCAAATATTAATTGGCAAGGTGTGAAGTTAGTAAATGACAAGTTGTAGAATTAATTATTGGCAAGTTGTCAAATAAAGTTGTCAAATTATCATTGACAAGTTGACAATTTGTTTGTTTTGATATCAAATTATTAAATGGCAAGTATTAAAGAAGTTGTCAAATTATTAATTTACAGGATGTCAAGTTATTGATTTAAAAATTGTCAAGTTGTCAAATTGTCAAGTTGTCAGCCCTGATCTTTATCTTTTTACAAAGAAGAACTATCTAGTCAGTATTATACTATTCTCATTTCTCATCAATGTAAATGTATTCCCCCTAATGTACTTTATATCGTACCCTGCAATCAGTTTCAAGAAATATTTTACATTCTTTGAGAAAACCTTGTTATGTTTATAAACCTGCGAATTCTATTTTCTGCTTGTAATCAGTCGTATTTTATACAATATAAAATATATGTTATTCATTCGTTATCAGAATAAGATTTTTGTTTTTGCATTGATATAAATATGCAAAAGTTAAATTAAGCTTAAGTTAGACTGGATGAAAAAAGAGTGTATTGAAAAAATATGCTTTCAGTGGCCGAATTTAAAGAATTTGAGCGGCGGTTTAAATTTAAGCCGCGGTTTAAATATGATTGGTTCCACTTAAAATTGTATCAATGCTTCAAGATTCAAACTGGCGCTTAATTTAAACAGGGTTTTTTTATGACTTTTATGACGTTACCAATTTGTCATTACCAAATTGTCACTTTTTTGTATTTACCAATTTGTCATTACCAAATTGTCACTTTTGTGAGCTTACCAAATTGTCAATACCAAATTGTCGTTTCCAAATTGTCACCTTACCAAATTGTCATTACCAAATTGACATTACCAAAAATCCGCCCGTCTTTTGGCGGATTTAAACAGCGGCTCAAATTCTTTAAATTCCATCTCAGAAAACATGAAAATAGTAAAGGGATAGAAATTTAGTTTTAGGAAAAGGTGTTTATTGCTCAACATTTTCAGAGATTTCAACTAGGACATAGACCTCATGTTTGTTAATCGGTAAAATTAAATTGATATTTTGGAAAGAATAATAAAAATTCCAAATATTTGTGGCTAACTTAGAATCAAAATGAATTTATTCCATAAACCTCTTTTTTATGTCAAATAAGGCTTGGCCGCCTAAGAATTTTTCTTGAGAAGTCTCTTATTTGTTTAAACGATATGTTTTAGTTAAGAATTTCGACCGAAAACCCACACTTTCACTGAAAACTCCTAAATAGGATTTTTAAACACGCTCCTCTGACTAAATCAAGGATTTGGGTTGTTGCTGGATGCCCTAAATCTTTTCAATATGGCTGTTAGAATCTATTTATATATTTAGATTATTCTAAAACCCCTGTGCTTTCTTGTGCTTTACTATAAAACATATGCTTTTCTTCCGAAATACTCGCTGTAACAAAGACGACATCTAAATATATTGAGGGATTACAGGATCCATTCAAGGATAAATTTATGAGCGAGAAAAGTAATTATGAATTACAAATTGAAATCATTATAAATCAAAGCTAGCTACAATTCATACAATGTTTGTAAATGAAAAGATTTTAAGAATAAATTCATTTTGTCCATTCTCAACGTGAAACACAAGACAAATGCATTTTAAGAGAAGTATTGTAACTAAACAGTCACCCTCCCCCCATGACCCCCTTTAATACCCCCCCCCCCCACGTGTGTGTGGGGGTGGGTGGGTTCGATTCAATAATGCAAATAGGAAAATCTAACTTTAATAATATTTTTAAAATCAAGTTAGGTTAAATTTTAAATTATGAAGAAGATTTATATACTTAAATGAAGCAAGTGCCAGAAATAGTACCAGTCGGTATCAGAAAAAGTAAGAAGAAAAATAAAAATAGAAAATAGTTGAGGAAAATGAATTATCTCTGTATACAGTCTGACTTTAAATGTCGTCTTGTGTAGAAATTGACCAGATTTTATCATTATTTCCCTACTTTGAAAGATAACCAAACCACTTAGTGTGCTACTAGGTGAAGTTTTTTAGAATAATTGTATTATTAGGAGGGGGTTGGTCGCCGTGGGGAGCTTATCCCCCCCCCCCCCGGGAACAATAGTTTTTACTTACACCCAGAATCAAGACTCAGTCCCAATATTCCCCCCCTTCCCACTCTGAATACAGAATTTTGTTATATCCAATGTTAGCATTAAATCCTGAAATACAAAATAAGAAAAGTTCTTGTCGTTTAGCATTAGTTCGGGAACTATAACCATCTCCCCTCACTACTCCGCAACAGTACCATCTGATATTAAGTACTTAGGGAAACGATTTTTGATAAATCTTCTTTATACATTTATATATTTATACTATTTGTTTACACATTTATATATATTGATATTGTTTATTTATATATTTAAATTTATACATATATGTATATACACATTGTATTAATATATTTGGCTCGTTTGTTTATTGGGTTTAAAAGCAAAACAGAAACTTATTTTTTTGTGGATATCAATCATAAAAACAATAATTTATGCGAAATGAAGAAAAAAATGGATGCTTTTAATGTAAAATTTCAAAGCTTCAACTAATACTAAAAAGAGGGGCACAAAGCGCCTTAAATTCCTAGAAAGAATGAATTTTCAAAAAGAAGGAATACCCTCAAGAGAGATAATTCAGAAGGTACTTTCCCAAAGGCATTTTCCCCGATGGCAACTTCCCAAGCGACAATTTCCCAAGTGGCAAGTTCTCAAATGTACATTTTCCCAAATGACAATTCCCCAAGTAGCAACTTCATTATGAAGGAAGTATTAAATGAACATATAAGTTTTACATTTTTAAAGAATTAATCAACTTTTTATTTAGAAAGTACGCGACTTCAAAAAATGTCATTCAGTTTCTCTCAGTTAGAAAGGCAAGAATATGTTGGTGGCCTTCACCCTTTCTTCAAAGAACAAAAATGTATTAAACGATCCTTATTATTATTTACGATTAGGTTAAGCCTTCTGAGACTAGGATGGGCTAGTGAACCGAGCGCTGCAGCTATTATAAAGAAAATAAAGTACATTATTTAAGGTTAGGGTAGGCGCATGAGGCGCCGCAGGCTACGATGGGGGGCCGAGCGCTGCGGCTAGGATGGGCTAGGGGCCGAGCTTGGCGGCTAGGATGGGCTAGGGGGCCGNTTGCTGCGGATATTCCTTGTTTTAAAGAAAATATAGTGAATTATTTATGGAAATTGATACTTGGAAAAATGTACATGTGGGAAGTTGCCGCTTTTCCTTCATGGGGAAGTTGACACTTGGGAAATTGTTACTTGGGTAAACGTACATTTGGGAAGTTGCCACCTTTTCTTCATGTGGAAGTTGCCACTTTGGAAGTTGTCATTCAGGAAAATGTACATTTGAGAAGTTGCCGCTTGGGAAAACGTACATTTGGGAAGTTGCCACTTGGAAAAATACCCTTGGGAAGTTGCCTTTGGTAAAGTTTCTCAATTCAGAGTTTCATGGCTTACTTAATTTAAGGTTCGTTACAGCTGGAATAAAAATTCAGAATCGTTTACAATAACTATATATATTTAATTTTAAAACCCGAGTTTCACTTATAAAGTTGTTGACTTTTAAAAAAGTCAATACGATAAAATAAAAGAGATCTAACGGTATTTCTAATCTTTATTTATTAAAACAAAAGGTTATGAAATATTTTCCCAAGTGGGGCTTAAATTGATTGGTTTAGAAATTAATAAAGAAACTATAGACGAATATCAGTTAGAAGGTGTTTGTAGAACTTCATGATGGTGATGCAGATCATCAATCTTGACGGCAGGCTTTCTCACAACTAGGCTTAGTCTAAGGGAGAGAGATTGCGGACTTATCCTGTATACAGGATAATGGAAGGAAGTCTGGTTCCGCCCGGATCTCTGGAACATTGCGGAGCGAACTATTGTTACCTTCTCCTGCGGAGCGAACTATTGTTACCTTCTCCTGCGGAGCGAACTATTGTTACCTTCTCCTGTGGGAGGGAGAGATTGCGGACTTATCCTGTATACAGGATAATGGAAGGAAGTCTGGTTCCGCCCGGATCTCTGGAACATTGCGGAGCGAACTATTGTTACCTTCTCCTGCGGAGCGAACTATTGTTACCTTCTCCTGCGGAGCGAACTATTGTTACCTTCTCCTGTGGGAGGGAGAGATTGCGGACTTATCCTGTATACAGGATAATGGAAGGAAGTCTGGTTCCGCCCGGATCTCTGGAACTTTGTGGAGCGCGGAGCTAGGTGTAAGCAGTGTCTTCTGTTGTTGGTTCCGTATCTGAATCATCATCACAAAGGAGCCAGGGTTGAGACGGAGTTGTGAATCTCGTGAGTGTTTTCCGCTGACTGACTGGTGAAGCGGGAGCTAGGTTGAGCGGAGATTTGACATGTGGGGTGTGTTGTATGGCGGAAAAGGATTCTGTGTATTCAGTGTACACACACATCCAGGGAATTGACATCGGCATTTGAGTCGGAACAATCGTCTTCCTTATATTTCGAATTTGTTTTAACAAAAGTATTTTAACGGTAGTCCTCAAGGTCTCCTGCTTTGTGAATATCTTTATAAAGGAAATAATTGAGTCTTGCCACAAATTCTGATTCTGATCCTTACAACCTGATTAAATATCTGAGGTATTCCATGTTGGGTTGTGAATATATTGGGTTTAGAAAATCAAAGTTTGAGGCAAAACTCAATTCCTTACTACGAAATTTCTTATGAAAATTAGTTAAACGCACAAAATACAAGCTTTCTTGACGCTTGTACAATTGTACATGCGGCAACGGGGCTTTATGTATGTACATTTTACATAAGATTTTATATCGCATTGAAATTGTGTTAATGAAAATGAGTTTCTTGAAAATGCGTTGAACTAGAATTGAAATTTACAATTTTATTGAATTAAAATGTGTAGAAGGTTGATATTTAAGGAATGGAATAATACCAATTTATTAGCTAGGAAAGATTTCAAGTAGAATGGTAACTGGTTATAAAATAAGAAACATACAGTTTAATAACATTGCAGACAAAAGTATAAAATAGATAAAAATATAAAAAATTGTTTTCATAAAACCTGAAATTATTTGACTATTTGATAAAACTTAATCATGGTTTGATCGCGCTGGATACTTATAATTGAATGGAGTTAGTTCAAGGAAGGAGGGGTGGCTGCTCTCAGGATTTTGAAGTTGCTCCCAGGATTTTGAAGTTGCTCCCAGTGTTTTGGAGTTGCTCCCAGGGTTTTGAAGTTGCTCCTAGGGTTTTGAAGTTGCTCCCAGGGTTTTGGAGTTGCTCCCAGGGTTTTGAAGTTGCTCCCAGGGTGTTGAAGTTGCTCCAAGGGTTTTGAAGTTGCTCCCAGGGTTTTGAAGTTGTTCCAGGATTTTGGAGTTGCTCCCAGGGTTTTGGAGTTGCTCCCAGGGTTTTGAAGTTGCTCCCAGGGTTTTGAAGTTGCTCCCAGGGTTTTGGAGTTGCTCCCAGGGTTTTGAAGTTGCTTCCAGGATTTTGGAGTTGCTCCCAGGGTTTTGGAGTAAATTGAGATTATTCATCCGAACTTTAGGAAAAATCGTTTAAAAAGGGTACTTTATAACCGAAAATTGAAAAAGGCTACCCCTTTTTACTGTTGAAACGGCTGAACCAATCGGGTCCACATTATAGGATCTCACACGACCCCAGGGAAGGTTTATGGATGCTCAGAATGCAAAATTTGTCTCCAAAAAAAATTTATTTTTGTAAAATTTTGAAAATCCACGAAAAAATATTATTGAATCCGCGAACTTTTTTGTTATTGTTTTATATTGAACAAAGAGAAGATGTTCACATAAGTTGAAATAGAAGACTGTGCCCTAAATATATGTAAATGCTTATGTGTATACTAAAACCGTAACTTTATTTGAATAGAATATTGAACTTTAAGATTCTTCAATTTGTATTGTATGATTGTTTCCACAAGAATTGGAAAATTATTTTCAAGAATAATAAAAGTTTTCTCTCTGGTGTAGAAGAAAAGAAGGAAGGAAGGAAGGATGGGGAGAAAGGGGGGGGGGAGTATATTACCGTATATATTGTAGCATAAAGTTAAATGAAAAAGATAACAGGCGATGCGGAAGAAAAAGGGAATTTAGGACAATTTCCTTTTTCGGATATACAGGCACTTCATACTGAAAGGTGGCGGGGTGTGGGAGGGGGCAGGGGGCTTTTATGTTTCACTTTGAAAGGATCTGAGTTTTTGCAACAAACTCTGATTTTCTAACCCATATATCTTTCCAACCTGATTTAAACTATAAATTCTGTTAGATCAAATAGCCTTAGCTTGTAAAACTAAACTAAACTAAACATTCTGTGAGAATACATAATCAAAGTTTGAAATATCAAAGGTTTGCACCATCAGGTTGTAAAGATAAAGGGATTAGAAAATTTGAGTCTGTACTAAAGACAATATTCCTTCAAACTGAAATCATCAAATCACGCATACATAAAAATTGATTGAATTTTGAATGAGTACTTTTCAACACCGTCTATTGCGAATTTAATGGAAAGCTCAACATGACAATTAGCGAGTTTTGAAAAAAAAAATGATTTAAAAGATAACAATGAATGAATACGATAGGGAAGAGTCAGGGAGTGTGAGTAGATTGCTATGATTTTTTATGTAGAGTTTATCCCATAGGGAATTGGATGGACTAGAGATGAAGTATAAGAAGTATAAGAATAATTAGAATATCTGCATAGTGCATAAAATATAAAGTATATTCAGCCTGGTAGAACCACTGGTGTAGTTGTAAACCTAGCTCTCCAGTATCCTCTAGGCAATATCTAGTATAGAATCATGCATAATAGATTTAGTTTTTCTCAATACAAACTCATATAGATCCTAGTGCAGTATCATAGTAGTAATATCATTCCAGTTCAATATCATAGTAGTTTACATCTTAGTTATTGCACTAATCTCAGATCAGTTTAGTATCATAGTAGTTTACATCTTAGTTTATTGCAGTAATCTCAGATCAGTTCAATATCATAGTAGTTTACATCTTAGTTTATTGCAGTAATTTCAGATCAGTTTAGTATCATAGTAGTAAACATCTTAAATCATTGCAGTAATTTCAGATCAGTTTAGTATCATAGTAGTATACATCTTTGTTTAAGGGAGTAATATTATTCCAGTTCAATATCAATATCAAAGTAGTGTAAATCTTAGTTTTATACAGTTAGATAATTATTATTTATTATTATAGTTAGATAATATGGGGTCTACATATTATATATTTGTTTCATATTCAACAGCTACTAGCCAGTTTATTATAGGTGCATATTTTAGTGTTATAATATTTGAAATTAAATTCATATCTCATCTACAAATACGTAGTAATCATCTACTTATTAGTAATAGATAAAGATAGATTGCGCATAAGACAACATTTTTCATCTTGAAAGATATAAATGTACAGAGATGTTTTAAAGATATTCCTATTATATAGATTAACTAGGTCGATTGTGAACATTGGCTGTTCTTATGTCATTGAGTACTTGTGCTGTACATGAGTTCTGTAGAGAGAAATTTAAGTTAGTTTAGTCCATCTCATGTCCTTCTTCAGTTCTCGTCCATATGATATATTGCTCAGTGAAATATTGTTGTTCAAATAGTTCCATTCCCGGAGTTATTTAACACTCTATTATGAAATCCATTAAAACACCAAACCACCACTTTGACCCCTAGAAGTATGAGTTCGCGGACTGTACAATTCTTGGTGATTTTGCGTACATAAGCTATCTATGTTTATTTATTTATCTATGTTATTAGTGCACCAATGCAAATATCTTAGTATCAATTTCATCTATGGTAATCTAAACAGATGCAAGACCAGTATCATATATTTAAGTTTCTGTAAGATTTTTGTAGATTATCAAGTTTTATCTGTAATAGTCGAACTACTCAATTTAAAGCTTGAAAACAGGCTAAGGACATTATTATTGTTCTACTGAATTCCCCAATCATAATTTTATACAAATTGGTCAAGGGGTTCATGATTTATGATTCGACATACAAACAGACTAACATAGATTACAACTTTATATCTACATATGTATAAAGTTCTAATCTCTGTTTGTTTGTCCGATCATAACTCAGGAAAACCTGGATCTATTTGCCTCAAATTTTGATTGAAGAAATCAGGAATATCTCAAAATATTCTTAGCTTGGTTTTGAGATTCTAAGTTAAGAGATTAAGAGATTAAGAGGTTCTGAGATTCTAAGTTACTTTTTAGCGAAAATATAGTTTCCCGATAAATTCGACCAAGTGCGGGTAAACGGCGGTATTAAATATGATTAATCAGGGCAGCACTGGGTTCCATAAGCTTGTTTATTTACATTTATCAATATTACAACCAACTGAATTAGTTCTGATGCATGTTTAAACTTGGCATAAATTTAATATAATTTTGTTAAAAGTTTTAAATAGTCTTGAAGTTTGAAGAATAAAGTTGTTCTAACATTCTGATGCAAGTTTAAACTTGGCATAAATTTAATATAATTTTGTTAAAAGTTTTAAATAGTCTTGAAGTTTGAAGAATAAAGTTGTTCTAACATCAAGATTAATTTAAATAGTGTTAAAGTTTGAAGAATAAAGTTGTTCTAACATCAAGATTAATTTAAATAGTCTTGAAGTTTGAAGAGTAAAGTTGTCTAACATCAAGATTAATTTAAATAGTCTCGAAGTTTGAAGAGTAAAGTTGTTCTAAGATCAAGATTAATTTAAATAGTCTTGAAGTTTGAAGAGTAAAGTTGTTCTAACATCAAGATTTATTTAAATAGTCTTGAAGTTTGAAGAGTAATATTGTTCTAACTTCAAGATGAATTTAAATAGTCTTGAAGTTTGAAGAATAAAGTTGTCTTAACATCAAGATTTATTTAAGTAGTGTTAAAGTTTGAAGAGTAAAGTTGTTCTAACATCAAGATGAATTTAAATAGTCTTGAAGTTTGAAGAATAAAGTTGTTCTAACATCAAGATTAATTTAAATAGTCTTGAAGTTTGAAGAATAAAGTTGTCTTAACATCAAGATTTATTTAAATAGTCTTGAAGTTTGAAGGGTAAAGTTGTCTAACATCAAGATTAATTTAAATAGTCTTGAAGTTTGAAGCATAAAGTTGTCTTAACATCAAGATTAATTTTGAACTATTCATATTGAGCACTTGGATATAGTTATTTAATATATAAGGAAACAAACAATATAAATTCCGTACAGTCGTCTCTGAAGTCACATCCTTTGTCGTAACCCTGTATTTTGTGTACAGACATACTGTGCAATTTATAATGCTAAAAGAGAAACTAAAACAAGTATCTATATCAACTAAAGTCATGCCAGTGAGACAAAAATTTTGACAACAAAAATTTTTTTTAAAACATTTAAAAAATTTTTACATTTCTGTTTGTTAAAAGTCGTCATTTCTAAACTATCTGCATATTTACTGTACTGCATAATGAAAAAATCCCATAAACTGGTTTATATCCAGTTGTGTGCATTGCTGTATCTTTTTTATGATTAAATTCATGATGGGAGTTGGATTAGGAGAGTGTTCAAACTCATATTTTTAGGCTAAAATATTTTATTTGATGAAAAGGCATAAGGTCTTCTATGATAACCTTCAAATATAAAGATGTATTTAATCTTGTGGATATTTTAGTAAAATGGGAAAAGAGAAAATTTTGTAGATTGAATTTTTCAAGAAAACTAGATATTTGATATTTTCCCCTCTAGTTTCAAAATCTGATAGTGTATCCTAAAACCATGGCAGATGTTGTTAGTAAAGACAAATTATTCTGAGACCCCTCCCTGTATAAAGATAAACCCTCAAAGAAAACTAAAAAATCCATCAGGACTTCTTTTGAAACTTGTAGAAGGTTGAAGGTTGCACCCAAGAGTTTAAAGTTTTAGAAATAGATTTATTCAGTATTTTTTATTTTGACAAAATGTATGCAAGGTTTTTTTCATGTATTGTGTTTTCTTTCTTAGTGATGTTAAACAAGTTGAATTAAAAAAAACCGCAAGAATAATGTGAAGAAATTGGTGCAATTTTTATGTACTTTACTCTATAGTGTAACTTTCTTATGATTCCCTTTGAAGTTAGAAATAATTTTTTAATAAGAATGGTTTCTAAAACTTTGCTATATTTGATTTTTTTTTCATTTTCAAAATTGAAAAACGGTAATTATTTATAATCGCTATAAAACGCAGGATTCATTAAAACTTTTAACTTAAATATTTATTCATTTGACAGAAATTGTATTTTTAGAAAAAGCTCTCCAATATCTTTATTTTGTACTTTTATACAGAATTAGTTCTGTTGTACACTTCTACAAAATTTTTTGTGTTGTACAATTGTATCAAATTCTTTCTGTTGTACATTTCTTTAGAATTATTTCTCTTGCACACTTCTTAAAGATTCTTTATTATTGTACAGTTTACTTTTATAAAGAAATCTTTCTTTAATTCATTTCTACAGATTTCTTTATTTTGTACATTACTACAGATTTTTTTTCTGTTGTACAATTCCACAGAATTATTTAGGTTGTATATTTTTTGCTTATACTGAATCCTTTCTTTTGTACATTTATATAAAGTTATTGCTGTTGTAAAATTCTAAAACATAATTTAGAGCATAAAAACATAAAGAATCCTTTACAATCTTAAAAAATTCTTCACATTTGCATAAAATTTCTGTAGAATTCAGTAGAAAGCTTTAAATTGCATACTTCTAGTAAATCCTTGCAGAATTCTACAGGTCTATCATCAACTCCCCATGGTTTCTAGTAAATTAAACTATATGTCGGGAACCTGGAACTTGAGCCTCCCTCTCTCTCTCTCTCTCTCTTTCTCTGTGATCCTTCCACCTCCCATCTCTCCAGTATCCACCTCTTGTCGGCCTCTCCTCCTCCACCCATGGATTCCAGTCTATAACCAGTAGCCTCAGAAGCAGGAACATCGTCAAACCTCTGGAATTCAACCACACCTTGTGAACGCGGAACCTAGATATCTCTGTACTAAACTTTACACTTAAAGTAAGATGGAAAGCTTTACAAATGATCTTATTTTGGATGCCATCATGCCAGGATGAAGGAACTTTGATCAGAGATTAATAAAACTCTATTCTAAAGGTATCAGAAAGACTATAGACTACCCGGTTTTTATATATTTTTATAAAATAAAAAGCTTCATATTCAGATATTTAGTATTTTCTGCAATTTGTAAGTCCTGTTAACTCGAAGCAAGATGCATCATGGATTGGTGAAAATCATGATCTTGCGATGGAGTTTGAGATTTTTCGGGATTAAACAGGAAATAACTAAAGAAATAACAATCTAAACTTTTTAAGCACAGATATTTATTGGAATTTTTAAATAGCATTTAGTAGGTTCTCAAAATAATCTTGTTTTATCATTTCGAAGTTTATGAAATTGTTTTTTTCATCAAAATCAAAAATTTTATACAAATATTGATATGTAAAAAAGAGTACATATATTTGTATGCTCAAATTGAAACATTGCATATATTGCATTCTAATATGAGTTACATACATTAAAAATATTTAGTATATTAATTATGTTATTTTACAGTACAGTCCATAATATTTGGATAAGTTCAAATCATACAGTATACAATGTTAAGTTGGAAGAACTGGGAAAAGATGATAAAATGCAGGATGTTTCAACTCAATTATTTAACCCTGTGCTTGCGGTTTATTTTTAGAAATTTATAGAATTAATATTTCAAGAAGTCTCCTTCCATTCCTCTTCATATTTATGTTTAGATGTTAAATAAAGAAAACATATCTATTTATGCAACTTCCTTTTCTAATCAATATGGACAATATGTTTTTTTTAAACTTGAATTTAAACTTTAAACAGGCAAAAGAAAAAATCTCAACAAAAACATTCACTCCCAAATGATAACACAAGACGGTGGAATATTCTAATTTATTCAATTCAAGTTCCATAAAAATGTGCCATTTTTCATGAAAATCTTCGAAATTTAAAAAAAACTTGCTTTGCTGGTATAAAAGGTTACTTATTTGCCTTGGACCAGATAAGAAACTTTTTATACCCAAGATCACGAATTGTAAGTAAAAATGTGGGATAAAAATTCGTTCAAAATTGAATAATAAAGATTGTATTTAGTCTTCTCCTAGGCCCCAGCCTTTCCATTTTTTAGTGTACACCCACTATTCAGGGTTAGTTTAGGTTAGGTTAACAGAGATTGATAGAATATAAAAATATTATTTGATAAGATAATATTTGAAAATGGCTTCCAGTTATGGGGATTTACGTTGTGTTATACAAATGTACATGAAGAAGGAATTCGAAAGTAAATTCAACCCTTAGAGTCTAGTTGCAGTAAAGTTAGCAGTATTTTAGATAAGATTCAAAGGATATTGTTTAGGTCTTGGGTCATAATATTTTTATCTCACGCCTTACTACCCTAAGCTTTAACTGTAAAAGAAAAGGAAATATTCTTTTTTTTTTTTGATATTCAATTGTAAAGAAATTAATTCTAAAGATTGAATACAAAGAGAGGGAAAAACTTGAAAATAAAGAAAATAAAATAAAATATTCCTCTTTATGGAATTTTCATTTTCCTCTTATTTCCACCATAATATCTACATATTACAATAATACAGCTTATAGGATCTGTAGTAGTACTGCTCATTTAATCAATTATTTTTCTTTCCTTAATTGATAATTAATTCGGAATATAACATGGAACCAAGGGAAATAGAATCTACTTAGAAAAGAAAGAAAAATGGACTAAGAAGTTTTTCACATAGTAGGGTACAGTATAGGGATATCCGTTGATTAGTTGGATACAGTACAGGGATATCCGTTGATTAGTTGGATACAGTATAGGGATATCTGTTGATTAGTTGGATACAGTATAGGGATATCCGTTGATTAGTTGGATACAGTATAGGGATATCCGTTGATTAGTAGGATACAGTATAGGGATATCCGTTGATTAGTTGGATACAGTATAGGGATATCCGTTGATTAGTTGGATACAGTATAGGAATATCCGTTGATTAGTAGGATACAGTATAGGGATATCCGTTGATTAGTTGGATTCAGTATAGGGATATCCGTTGATTAGTAGGATACAGTATAGGGATATCTGTTGATTAGTTGGATACAGTATAGGGATATCCGTTGATTAGAAGGATACAGTATAGGGATATCCGTTGATTAGTTGGATACAGTTCAAGGATATCAGTTGATTAGTTGGATACAGTACAAGGATATCAGTTGATTAGTTGGATACAGTAGAAGGATATCAGTTGATTAGTTGGATACAGTATAGGGATTTTTAGTTGAATGGTTTAATACAGCATGGGAATATCAGTTGAATAGTAGAATACAGTATAGGTATATCAGTTGAATAGTTGGATACAGTATACAGTATAGGGATATCAGTTGAATAGTAGGATACAGTATAGGGATATCAGTTGAATAGTAGGATACAGTATAGGGATATCAGTTGAATAGTAGGATACAGTATAGGGATATCCATTGATTAGTTGGAGACAGTACAAGGATATCAGTTGATTAGTTAGATACAGTACAAGAATATCAGTTGATTGGTTGAAGATAGTATAGGGATATCTGTTGAAAAGTTGGGTTAGAAATATCAGTTGATTAGTTGGATACAGTATAGGGATATCAGTTGATTAGTTGGATACAGAACAAGGATATCAGCTGATTAGTTGGATACAGTACAAGGATATCAGTTGATTAGTTGGATACAGTGTAGGGATATCGTTGATTAGTTGGATACAGTACAAGGATATCAGTTTATTAGTTGGATACAGTATAGGGATTTTTAGTTGAATGGTTGAATACAGCATGGGAATATCAGTTGAATAGTAGAATACAGTATAGGTATATCAGTTGAATAGTAGGATACAGTATAGGGATGTCAGTTGAATAGTTGGATACAGGATTGGAAGATCAGATAGGTAGATACAGGTTATTTAGAGGTAGGTGGATACAGGTTATTTAGAGGTAGGTGGATACAGGTTATTAGAAGGTAGGTGGATACAGGTTATTTAGAGGTAGGTGGATACAGGTTATTTAGAGGTAGGTGGATACACAGGTTATTTAGAGACAGATTGATACAGGTTATCTAGAGATAGGTGATACTGGATCCAAATTATTTAGAGGTTGGTGAATACAGAATATGGAGAGGTAAAGAGGGATACCATGATTACATTGCTTGAAAGAGGAATAAGTTGGGTTGTGTACAGTGTACATGAAATAGATGGAGTAAGGAGGTTTCTAAATGTTTTCTCAGTGGCTGGATTTCTACTGCATTGCATACATAGTTCATGGGTTGGAGATGAAAGGGACCAAATATTGGTTTATAAGCAAGAAAATCTTCCACTTCAAACAAGCTTGAATGGTTGTTTGAAACGTTTTTGGAACTTGGAATAAACGTAAACTTTTTTTAAGGTGACCAAAAAAAAGATTAAAACCACACAACCAATTATACTCGGCAATTTAAATATTATGTAAAAAAAAGTTAAAAGTATAATCAATTTACGTAAAAACTATTCAAGAGAGGTGTTTTTGTTATTATATCTAAAAAAAAACTATTTGTTGAAAATGCGTTACAGCTATGCAACTTTTTCCCAAACATGTTTCCCAACTTAATACTTGGGAAATTGTACATTTAGAAGATTGTACCACAGTTGCCCCTTGGAAAACTTCTCTTTAAGAAGTTTTCAAATGAGAATTTTGACTTTATGAAAGTTTTCACAAGGGAATATGTCCTTTGGAAAGTTTTCCCTATGAGGTGTTTCTACTATAGGAAAAAGGCCCTTTGTAACGTGTGACATGTAAAAATGCCATTATAAAATTTAGCAAGATTATTGAAAACACCATAGACAGACAGACAGTAAATGACTTGGTCCCAGTTCAAATCATCAGATTAAATGGATATTTGGTGAAGTATTTTCCTGTTAGATATTTACAATTTAGAATTTTATATTTTATATTTTATATTTCAAATGCATTCATCACATTTATTCGTTAGTGAAAAGATAGGACAAATTGTATTTCGCGGTGTGCTTTTGATTATTTCAAGTTAGTTTGAAGACTTGATGATTATAATTAGGAGAATAATAATATGAAGCCAGGTTGCTAGGGGAGAGCTTGGGAGGATCATTGGGTTAGACATAGAAGATAAATTATAACAGAGAGTACATGTATCCGGTATATAGATAGCATACATTTAGCATAAAACACACTGGGTTTTCTAGGCGGGCTGGTACGAGTTCATATGTATTTGGTACAATTGCAGTAGTCGGATAAATCCTTGTTCTGGTTCGGATTGTGAGAGGTAGTTGATCAGAGCAATATGATCCAGATTTTTATTGTGCTGAGAATATATAACGAAATATTTAGGGCATTAGACAAAATTTAATTTGCCACTCAGAAAGTTTTTTTTCGTTAAATTACCTTTCACTGCTAAAGAAAAATGGATGACTCATCGAATAGATTTTGTTTCTATTCATTATTCATCTTATCAAAATACTGATATGGTATTTTGAAATAACATTATGTTCATTTATCATCAATATATTTTGTCATTTTTTTTATTTATTATGTTTTTTTCCCTACCATTATGTCGTTTATGATATTGTTTGTAAATTTAAGTATTAAAAAATAAAAATATTAGCATGATTTCTTTACATCCTTCTTTGAGTTATTTTCTTTAATAAGGTGTCGCATGTGCTTTGATTTTTCTTTCTTTCAACTTAATTTTTTACTTTTTGTTTGTTTTTTTATTTCTTCACTTATCTCAAGGGCTTCAGTTTATTCTTTTAATTTCAGGCAGCGCTGAGCTCCCTCCTCCATTCACCCCCCACTCTAGACCCTTGAACAACAACAACACGAAGAGCGGTGAGGAGATGCGCAGACAGAATTCTATACACCCCGACCTTCCCCCCAGCTCACCGGTCAGGGAGACTAAACGAGGGTAAGAAAATTGGGGCGCTTCGCGCTTTTCTTTCCGGAAACTGACTTATTTTATAATGTTATTAGGTTATAAAGTCTTTGCTACAAAATCGAATAGGATATTTCCTATATCTTTGCAACCTAATGGTGTAAACTTTTGATAATAACTATTTTGATCTAAAAGAATTCATAGTTTAAAATATCAAAGGACGACATTTGGTTTCAAAGATAAAAGGATTCGAAAATTTGAGTTTGCGCAAAAACTAAATTCCTTTCCAGCTTTGTTTTAAAATATATTTTCTTCAGCCAGAAACCATATCAGCGGTTTCTCTGACAACACAAGCCTGAATAATTACGCGACATTAAAAACTTTACCAAAAGATTATTCTTGTGTGACTGTTGCATACAGAGACAGATTTTTGCCTCTTCATCAACTTTCATCAACTGGCAAGAACAGGGTGTCCCAAAAAACATGGGAAAAGACTGCAAAGATGTGTCTATAATGTCTCTGCAAGATGAACAGTGAAGACGGACAAGTATACTCTGTTTGTATACTGCAATTTTCTTGTTTTACTAAGTACAACCGTATGCAGTCAAAACATAAACAAACAAAATGTAAACATAGCAGCCGAAACTCTAACAGATTACAGCTTACTCAGTAGGTATCACTGTACTAAATCAAAGAATTATTTGAAAAGACGATATCGAATTCGTCACTGAATCCCCATGTTGATTGGGACACCCTGTAGCATAAAGTGAATTCATTTAGAATACAAACTCAAGTTTTTCAACAACCTTCAAGAAATGAAATAATAAGATTTTTTTCGAAACTTACAACAAGATTTTCATAAGATGCCAAATATTCTTAGTTTATTTCGAAATCATGGATAAGAGGATGAGTTTGGGAACCCTTGCTCCAAGGGTTAAAGTTGGAACCTTGGTTCCAAGGGAAAAAGTATTAACCTTTGTCACAAAGATAAGATTTTAAACCCCTGGTTCCAAGGGTGAGAGTAAGAACCCGTGTGCCAAGGCTAAGAGTATAAACCCTGCTTCCAAGGTTGGGAGTAGGAACCCTGGTTCCTATGATGAGAATTTGAACGATGGTTTCAAAGATGAGAGTAGGAACCCTGGTTCCAAGGTTAAGAAGGATGAGAATTTGAAGGATGGTTTCAAAGATGAGAGTAGGAACCCTGGTTCAAAGAAGGATGAGAGTGGGTGATCTCAAGGATGAGAATTCGAACTATGGTTCCGAGGATGAAAGTGGGAACCCTGGTTCCAAGGATGAGAGTGAGAACCCTGGTTCCATGGATGAGAGTTGGAACCTTGGTTCCAGATTTTTGATTTGATTGTATCCTTGTGAAATTGGAGGTTTAGTTTACTCTTCATTCGGAAATATTTCTATTTAATTTTTAATACAATTTCATAATTCAAACTTTTTAACTAAATTTTCAAATATTTGCGATATTTTCAATTTTGGTGGGAGCTGCAGATTTTACTTTTAGAATTTGACGCACACAAAGTTAGAAATAGTTTTGGAGAAAAGTCTTTCTATCAATCAACAAGAAGTTAGTTAACAAAATATTTAAAAAAAAATTTCATATTAAAACGGAGATGAAAATAAAGTTGCGAACACATTTCAAGTTTTTTAGAATTAGAATCATTTATAATATACAACTGGGAGCTCTGAAATCCTTCGTCTTAACCATTTATTTAAAAAGTTTCAAGCTAGTCGTGAAGTTTATCAAAAAGACCGTATATAAATCTAACACAAAGTGCATTAAAGCAAAGCATTGCAATGTTTTTTTCATCCTTTTAAGTTTCTCTAGATTGTTGATAGTTGAGCTAGTTTTTCAATCATAAGAAAATGTGCAAATTTTAAAACTTTTTTCATTAGCTGAGATCAAGTTGTATTTTTACTCCAAACTGCCCTAGCTTGATTTTACAGATATTGTCTTTTACAATATAAATTTTAGTAACTTAATATACATAGTTACATCATATACAATAAGCTTCTTTGCATGCCTGTTAAATAAAATAGTTGCTTTTTATCCTGCTGAAAGTTCGTCCAGCAGTCAATAAGATAAACCATGATTGAATTATAGCTTGACCGGCAATATTTTCAGCTCCACTCTCACAGTAAAAAAAGAGAATTCAATATTATAGCTCGTTCTTGACAGACCCTTATAATTCTTAACCTATGATGACCTAGTAGGTCTCCTTTTAGAACCCTAACGGGGGGGGGGCCTCTGTAGAAACGCTTGACAGAAGCTTTGGATAGAGAAATTAAAACAGATCGTGATTCATAATTTAGTTATGATTTAGCCCATACCCCCTTTCATTTTTGGCAAATACTGTAAGCGTAATTTCAAGTGACCTCGATGGCAATGCCCGATTTACGATGGTAACCTTACATTAATTTGATCAACAATGTTTAAGATACCGTAGTTTTTCTGAATCGAAAAGTGTTTTTTTTCTGCGAGTTTCGTCGTTCCTTCTAATTAAGCAAGAAATGCGCAAGTCGCGTTTGCAGAGAAACCGCAAATGAAAATAAACAGTTTAAAGAAACAAAAACATTGATTTCTAATTCATACTTGATCAGACAAAGCTTTCAATGGTACCGTTTTTAATCGAGCTTTGTCATCTTAGTCTGGAGGGTCACTTGAAATTACGCTTACAGTCCCTTTAATTAAACTCCCAGGAGGACTGCTTAATCAAATTATCCTTAAATGTGAGATATCATGAAATATTTGAAGACGGAAGCATACGAAGGGAGAGATAGAATTCTTTAAAGTTTGATACAAAAGTTGAATAACACGGAGCAAAATTTAATGAAAAAATTTAGAGAAAAGATGGGATTAATTGTGAAACTTAGATTTTTAAAGATTTTTATAATGTTTCAAGTCAATGAAAGGGAGAGCCAGTATTTGAAATATTAAATAAAAATTTAAAGAGTGCCATCAAAGATTTACAACGAATTCTTTATCATCATTGCTTAAGAACCGGGGATAATGGTTAGAAAGGTTCCGGTGAGAATCGTTTATGGAACTTTTTTAAAGTTAATTTAGTCACCTAAAAACACGTTGAAGATTCATTTAGTATTTTTCATATTTCTAAATTTCTGGGTTTCATTTTACTCAGTTTATTTGTTGTTAGATGTAAAATTAGTTCATTTTGTTCAGGTCCTCTGAGGGCGATGCAACCATGATATCTCTGACTGGATCCTTGTCTCAACCCACCACCTCTACATCTACTCCAGTACACTCATCCTTCCCAACCTCACCCTTCAGGTTAGCTTATACACCTAGATCCAGTGCACTCCTCATTCCCATCCTCACCCTTCAGGTTAGCTGATACACCTAGATCCAGTATACTCATCCTTCCCAACCTCACCCTTCAGGTTAGCTTATACACCTAGATCCAGTATACTCTTCCTTCCCAACCTCATTCTTCAGGTTATCTTATACACCTGGATCTTTTACACTCAGCCTTTCCAACCTCACCCTTCAGGTTAGCTTATACACCTAGATCCAGTATACTCATCCTTCCCAACCTCACTCTTCAGGTTAGCTTAAACACCTAGATCCAGTATACACATTCTTCTCAACCTCACCTTTCAGGTTATCTTATACACCTAGATCCAGTATACTCGTCCTTCCCAACCTCACCCTTCAGATTAGCTTATGCACCTAGATCTTATATACTCATCCTTCCCAACCTCACCCTTCAGATTATTCTCCTCACATTTACAGAGACTTTTTTGTATAAAATCATACTGGAACCAGAAATAGTCCCAGAAAATAAAGTCTAAAAATGGGAGGACTTTATTTCCAGATTTTTTTATTTCAATGACTTTTTTCCACAAGACTTTTTTCGTGCCAAAATTTAGGAGTTTATTTCGAAATCTTTTTTTTCAGAGAACTTTTTTAACGGTTAACTAATTTTTAGTCAGAATAGCTTTTTTGAAACGGAAAATAATTTTTAAAGAGAAATATCTAAAAAAAGTAAAAATATAAACCTTGAAAACTTATGTTTATTACTCAGGTTAATGAGAGAGGAAAGTGTGGATGGGACACTGTCCCCAGTATCCATGAAGGGAACGATGGACTATCTAGATAATGATCTTGGAACTGCTAAAAGAAAGGTAAAATTATATTGAATAAAAATCATATCTCCTTCATTTTTTTCCAAATTTATTAAATTAGTTTTTATTTCTGTTAATATTTTTCAAACATGTCAGGTATCTAGCCATAAATAAAAATTAAATATTAAATGTACACTTACTTACAGACCGACAAAGGAATTGAGTCTCTTTGCCACAAACTCTGATTTTCTAATTCATATAAATATCTTTACAACCAAATGTCGTAGACCTTAGATATTTCAATCTATGAATTCTGTTAGATAAAAAAATCTGATATTAAAATATCAAAGGTCTGTATCATGAGGTTGAAAACACAAAGGGATTATAAAATTTCAGTTTATGACAAAGACTCAAACTCATTTACATAACATGTACATAGTAGATATACACACGTACATTTACATAACATGCACATAGTAGATATACACACGTACATTTACATAACATGCACATACTAGATATACACACGTACATTTACATAACTTGCACATAGTAGATACACACACGTACATTTACATAACATGCACATAGTAGATACACACACGTGCATTTTACATAACATGTACATAGTAGATACACACACGTACATTTACATAACATGTACATAGTAGATATACACACGTGCATTTACATAACATGCACATAGTAGATACACACACGTACATTTACTAGATTTGTTGGATAAATATTTGTTTTGTCCTATTGCTCGGTTTTAATATAGGAGATAAATTAGATTCTTTGTTTATTCAACTCTACCTTCTTTATTCTAGTTCCAGGTGTAAAAGTTTAACTTGAAACACAGGTTAAAAGGTTGCATGATTATATGATATAGGTTTAGTTATCAAATGGGTTTCATGAAATTCTGGATTGAAAACTAGAAATTATCGAAATAAATTGTCATATGAGTTTTAAAGTTTCACCGTGCAAGTGGTGCAACTGACGTTTTTTTTATTTAATTGAGATCGCTGACGTTTTAAATGTACTTCAAACTTAATATACATCTATCTTGAGGTAGAAGTTTCTGTATAAAATAGCGCTAATCTACAACCCCTAAACTAGATATCAACAGTGAAAACTATTACTTAGCACGTTTTAAAAGCATGCCAATTAATGGCCGAGGTTCAAATTATGTGTGACTTCTGATTGGACCTTTAGCGTCGCAATCTGATTATTTAAAACTTTAATATTTCAAACTTAGATTATTTGATCTCACAGAATTTTTAGTTTGAAATATCTAAGATCTACGACATTGTGTTGCAAAGATAAAGGATTAGAAAATTACAGTTTTTGGCAAAGACTGAATTCCTTTATTTTCCAATGTCTAACTTATGATTGATAAGTTTCTCTTATTTTAGCGATTAATGATGGATAAAGCATACTTTATCTCTAAAGAACTACTGATGACAGAACGAACCTACAAGAAGGATTTAGAAATTATAAATTTGGTGAGTAAATTATAAATATTAAATTTGGTGAGTAAATTATAAATATTAAATTTGGTAAGTAAATTATAAATATTAAATTTGTTGAGTAAATTATAAATATTAAATTTGGTGAGTAAATTATAAATATTAAATTTGTTGAGTAAATTATAAATATTAAATTTGGTGAGTAAATTATAAATATTAAATATGGTGAGTAAATTATAAATTTGGTGAGTAAATTATAAATATTAAATATGGTGAGTAAATTATAAATTTGGTGAGTAAATTATAAATATTAAATTTGGTGAGTAAATTATAAATATTAAATTTGGTGAGTAAATTATAAATATTAAATTTGGTGAGTAAGTTATAAATTTGGTGAGTAAACTATAAATATTAAATTTGGTTAGTAAATTATAAATTTGGTGAGTAAATTTTAAATATTAAAATCAAACTTTTACACTTTCTTTAACATCAAACATTTATCGGAATGAAAAAAAATATTCTTCCAAATATTTATAACATTCTTTTGCCAGCATTTAATCCAACGTATAATGTATATCCATAACTCTTTATTCTGTCTGTCTGTATTTAAATATTGGTCTTCTGTAACCGCTTTGTATCAAGATATTGTTCATCTGTATTTAAATATTATCCTTCTGTACCCAAAGTCCTTTAGTATATAATTACTGGTTATCTGTAACCGATATTGTTCTTCTGTATCCAATAATGTCCCCCTGTATCTAGATAAAGTTCTTCTGTATCCAATATTGTTGTCCCTCTGTAACCAATATCGTTCTTTTGTATATAAATATTGTTCTTCTGTATCCGATATTGTTCTTCTGTATCCAATATTGTCTCTCTGTATCTGAATATTGTTTTTCTGTATCCAATGTTGTTCCTCAGTATCCATTATTGTCCCTCGATATCTATATACATATTTATCTTCTCTGTCCAATACTGTTTCTCTGTATCTAGATATTTTCCGTCTGTATCCAATCTTGTAACTTAGTATTTAGAAATATTGTTCTTCTGTATCCTAGTTCTACTCTGAAAATGATAATGTTTAGTGGTGGAGAGATGAGTTGTCCAGCGAGGAAAATATGCCCGAGGAGACGGTCAATCTTCTTTTCTCTCATATAGATCCACTCTACGAGCTTCATGCAGCCTTCCTCAAGGATATAGAGACAAGGATGGCATCCTGGTAGGTTTATATATAATCAAGGATATAGAGACAAGGATGGTATCCTGGTAGGTTTATATATAATCAAAGATATAGAGACAAGGATAGTATCCTGGTAGGTTTATATATAATCAAGTATATAGAGACAAGGATGGTATCCTAGGGTAGGTTTATATATAATCAAGGATATAGAGACAAGGATGGTATCCTGGTAGGGTTATATATAATCAAGGATATAGAGACAAGGATGGTATCCTGGTAGGTTTATATATAATCAAGGATATAGAGATAAGGATGGTATCCTGGTAGGTTTATATATATATCGTGAGAGCCAAGGAAAAACTATTTTAAACAAACTGCTGTAAAGTTTTAAGGTTAGTTATTTAAAATTTGTATTCTTTGCAGTAAAAGGAGATTTTAAATTCTGGATAATATTCATTTTTATGATGCTATTATTTTTTCAGTTTTGTAAAATTTTTGTTTTTTTCTTTCAACACCCCCTCCCTCAACCTCCCTTTCCTCCTCTCCCCTCACTCATAAATATTAAATTTCCCTTTAAAGAAGGTTGTCTAAGGGAGCCAAATCTTTAAACTTTTTCAAATATTTTAATCTCTTAGTTAATTTGAATATTCTTTGTTGAATTAGCATGGATGAACTAATTTTTATTTGGGAAAAGAAATCTTCTATGATTGAGTATTGAAGAATGAACTGAAGTGGAATAATGTATGCGGCCAATATCTACAAAATCCTTTTTAATCGGAACATAAAATGAACGCTTTCGTTAAACATTTTTTCTTCCACATTTCCATTTGAATTTCTATTTTCCTTCACCTACAATTAAGCGCTGAAATAATATTTTTGTAAGTTGAACTTTTTTATTAATTCTACAGAAACCTTTTTAGCTCTCAGCTTTTAAAAAGGAATTGCTTGTTATGCATCACAGCAGGTACTCCTGATTTAGAGTTTTTATACATTAATACACGGTTACATTTATGATATTTTTTTAGTAATATCCCCTCCCCCAATCCTACATTAACATAAAAAAAATTAATGCGCATTGTTAAAAGGGCTGAAAAAGATTTGAAAAATAATGATTGAAATGTTTGTCCATATTCATTATCTATTGTATCTCGTTGAAGTGTATCGATCTATGACGTTCTATCCTTTGATATTTTCCACAATTCTCTCCATGACGTCACAGCTTTGCAAACTAAAGAAATTCCGGCAAGAATTCCTGCTGGTTTACCACTGCAGGATATTTTAATAGTTTACTAGCTCGAGAGTATTCTAGCTCAGGAGTATGCTATTATTAGCTCAGGAGTATGCTATTACTAACTCAGGAGTATACTAGCTCAGGAGTATACTAGCTCAGGTGTTTACTAGCCTCAAGAGTATACTGGCTCAGGAGTATACTAGCTCAGGAGTTTACTAGCTCAGGACTATACTAGCTCAGAAGTAAATTTGCTCAGAAGTATATGAACTAGTTTAGGAGTATTTGAACTAGAAGTTTACTAGCCCAGAAGTATATAAACTAGCTTAGGAGTACATGAATAGCTCAGGAGTATACTAGCTGAGGAGTTAATTAGCTCAGAAGTATATGAACTAGTTTAGGAGTATATGAATATCTCAGGAGTATACTAGCCCAAATGTATATGAACTATTTAAGGAATGCATAGAAACATCAGGCAAAAGGCATGTTATTTTTGACACTGCGGATATCCTATTATTAAGCATTTATGATACTTCACTAATATTCAATTTATTATTCCCTTTTTTACATCTGTTTGATAATGAATTTGTTTAGGGAAAATAAGACCGAGCTGAATGAGAACAGAAAGATAGGAGATCTAGTGCTCAAGCATATGAATCAAGGAACTATGGAGCACTACTACAGATATATTGATACTCATGTTCTTATCCTGGAGAACCTGGAGCAGGCTCTGCATAGGAACAATAAGTTTGAACAAGTATACAGGGACTTCGAAATGCAGAAGGTAATGGAGACTGTTCCATTTCATAGCCCCCCCTCTCCCTATCTAGTTATGATTTAAATGCATGAATTATGTTCTGAATCTAAATGAATGCATCATGTTCTTCAAAATTTGAACGACTGTATCATGTTCAGAATTTAAATGAATGCATCATGTTCTGAATTTAAATGAATGAATTATGTTCTGAATTTAAATGAATGCATCATGTTCTGAATTTAAATGAATGCATCATGTTCTGAATTTAAATGAATGCTTCATGTTCTGAATTTAAATGAATGAATTATGTTCTGAATTTAAATGAATGTAAAATGTTCTTCCAAATTTAAACGGATGTATTAAGTTCTGAATTTAAATGAATACATCATGTTCTTTCTAAATTTAATGAATGAATTATGTTCTGAATTTAAATGAATGAATTATGTTCTGAATTTAAATGAATGCATCATGTTCTTCCAAATTTAAACGAATGTATCATGTTCTGAATTTAAATGAATGCATCATGTCCTTCCAAATTTAAACGAATGTATCAAGTTCTGAATTTAAATGAATGTGCCCTGTTTTTCGAAATTGAAAGCCACGCAAATTGTCTTAATTTTAATTGATTGTGAAGTCGCTTTTTTTATGAAAGGAAAGAGTTTAGGATGAAAAGGGGGTTTGGAAGGGGGAAGCAGTTTTAGATAGATGAATAGTGGAGATGGGTTGTAATATTGTAGAAAGAAATTATATTTTTATCAGGTCTGTTATCTGCCAATTACCACTCTTCTACTTAAACCTGTTCATAGGGTTCTCCACTACCAACTAATATTAGAAAGTAAGCTTTTTTAACATTGATTTTTTATTTGATTGAAATTTAGGAATTGTTTTCAACTCCTTTGCTGAATGCCTTAATTCCCCAAATCTCTTTTGTTCAATTTTATTTTTGTTTTAAAATTGTTTTGTTCTTTTAGCTAAAGTCATTGCCATAAACTATGATTTTCTAATCCCTTTAATTTATTTACCCAATGTCGTAGAACTTAGCTATTTCAATGTGTGAATTCTGTTAGATCATCTATATAATAAAATAAGACATTTGTATATATGTTTTCCTATAGCCGAAAAAACGGCTGGACCGAATGGGCTGACATTTTTTGAGGGAACCCAGGGGTATCCCTGAATTGGGTAACATAGGCTTCAAAACTTTTGTTTTTCAAATAAATATATATATATTTTTTATTCCACGGGCAACGCCGGGTACTTCAGCTAGTATAATATAAGTTTGAAATACCAAAGGATTGCACCATCTGGTTGCAAAGATAAAGCGATTAAACAATTCTTTCTTTCGTATCCCAATTTTGAATTTGTGTATTTTTTTAGGATTGTTGAACCACTACGGGGGATCGAACCCTGATTATCCTGATGCTAACATGGCACTGAGTAAAGTTCGAACTGTAATCAAGAAACTATCTTCCAAACTAAAAGAATCGGTAAGTTTACTCCGGAACTAATCTTGAATGTCAAAGTTTGACATGAATTTGGTGTTTTGAAGTCGTTTGAAATATATTTATTTTTTTATAATTTTCTATTGAAACAAAATATTTCCTATGTTGCCAATTTTTAATTATCCTTAAAAATAAATGTTGTGATATTAAATTTAGACTAAAAAGCATTAACGAAAAATTGAAATGGACGAGTTTTAGAATCTTCATCTGGAATACGATTAAAATTATTATTCCATTATTATTTCATTATTATTCCATTATTATTCCATTATTATTCCATTATTATTTCATTATTATTCCATTATTATTATTTCATTATTATTTCATTATTATTTCATTATTATTTCATTATTATTCCATTATTATTTCATTATTATTTCATTATTATCATTTAGGAGAACTTGGTGAAGCTGATGGAGTTGCAGAGGGACCTGGTGGGATACGACAACCTTGTCCAGGAGGGAAGAGAATTCGTCAGGGAGGGTTGTCTTCAGAAACTCTCCAGGAAGGGATATCAGCAGAGGATGTTTTTTCTGGTAATACAACTACATTTTAGGACTCTTTTTTCTAAGCAAACTTAAATGCCTGACAGAAAGATGAATGATAAAAATCTAGATCTAACATTTTGATATTTTTTTTCTTTAGTTTTCTGATATGCTGCTCTACGCAAACAGAACAACAAGCCCTGGACTTCAGTTTAGAGTTCATGGTCAGCTTTCTGTTCCTGATCTCCAGGTAGTTTACATAAACTAGTTCATGATCTTCATGTAGTTTACATATACTAGTTCATGATCTTCAGGTAGTTTACATAAACTATTTCATGATCTTCATGTAGTTTACATAAACTTGTTCATGATCTTCATGTAGTTTACATATACTTGATCAAGATCTTCAGGTAGTTAACATAAACTAGTTATTGATCTTCAGGTAGTTTACATAAACTAGTTAATGATCTTCAGGTAGTTTACATAAACTAGTTCATGATCTTCAGGTAGTTTACATAAACTAGTATAAGATCTTCATGTAGTTTACATAAACAAGTTCATGTTCTTCAAGTAGTTTACATAAACTATTTCATGATCTTCACGTAGTTTACATTACTAGTTTATGATCTTCAGGTAGTTTACATAAACTAGTATATGATCTTCAGGTAGTTATACCCAACTAGTTCATGATCTTCAGGTAGTTTACATATACAAGTTCATGATCTTAAGTTAGTTATAATATAGTAGTTCATGATCTTCAGGTAGATTATTTTTATTTTTTCATGATCTTCAGGTAGTTTACGTAAACTAATTCAAACCTTTACTTTCTCGGTGCAAATTTTTATGTTTTTTACATTTTTTAAATGGTTCAATTTTGAAAAATGTTATAATATGTCTCAAAAATTTCAAATTAGAGATGGTCTTCTGTTAGTTTTAAGTTATTCAAATCTCCGGGTTCTAAGAATTGTACTAGTTTCTGATCTCTGGGTTTTAGAATTTCTACTAGTTTCTCATTTCCGGGTTCTAAGAATTGTACTAGTTTCTTATCTCTGGGTTCTAAGAACTGTACTAGTTTCTGATCTCTGGGTTTTAGGATTTCTACTAGTTTCTCATTTCCGGGTTCTAAGAATTGTACTAGTTTCTAATCTCCGAGCTCTAAGAATTGTCCTAGTTTCTAGTCTCCGGGTTCTAAGAATTGTAATTGTTTCTCATCTCCAGTTTCTAAGAACTGTTATATCTTCTGATCTCCGCGTTCTAAGAATTGTACTAGTTTCTGGTCCTTGGGTTCTAAGAATCTTAATAGTTTCTGATTTTTGGGTTCTAAGAGTTGTAATAGTTTCTGATCTCCGGGTTCTTAGAATTGTACTAGCTTCTTATCTTCGCGTTCCAAGAATTGTACTAGTTTCTGATCTCCGGTTTCTAAAAATTTTACTAGATTCTGATGTCTGGGTTCCAAGAATTTACAGTTTCTGATCTCCGGGTTCTAAGAATTTTTCTAGTTTCTGATCTCCGGGTACTAAAATGGTGCAAGTTTCTGCTCTCCGGGTACTAGTATTAGTTTATATTTCTATGATATTTGAGTGAACCAAGAATTAGTATGCGGAGAATGTGAGCAGATTTATTCTATTTCTCTTCAATATTTACAAACCTTCATCTTGTCACAGAATTTATTTCCATATTTCAAGACCAAGAAAACTTTTTTATTTTGTATTCGTATTTTTTCTTGTTTTTCACATGATTCAAAAAAACCAATTATACAGGTTGCGATTTCGGAGATATTAGTTTTGTACAATCCCTATTTTTATACAATCATGTAAATAACGCAAAAAAGGACAATTTTACAACGGATAATATAACCGTTTATGAAAAAAAATCTCTTCTAAGAAGACTATAACTTACATAAATACCATTTTTTAATAAAAAAATAGAATTTTTCAAAAAAGATCCTTTTGCCTGAGGTTTCGCATACAATGATAACATTTCGTGAATATGAAGAATGGAGTGTATCAAGAACAATTAAATTCAAGATTTATTGAAAATACGTTATTAATCCAATTAAGTACAAAGAAGTGTGAAAAGTATGAACTATTTCACTTTTTAGTGTGAACTAGACCCCAGATATTTCAAACTATGACTTCTGTTAGATCTATTAGCTCAAGATTAAAATATCAAAAGTTTACACCATCAGGTTTCATAGATATAGGAATGGTAAAATTTGAGTATGGGGAAAAAGCTCAATTCCTTTGCTGACATAAGTGTACTGCAGGTTGTAGAAAGTGAGCCAAGGATGGGAGCTGATTTCTGTTTCAACGTTTACGATGGTAAACGAGCACTCATGGTAGCAGCTTCCTCACAGACAGAGAAACTTCAGTGGATGGAGGATATCGTAGAAACCGTACAGGTATTATTATTGTTGCTTTTGTTTTATTATTATTATTATTATTTTTCTTTTATAATAGGAACTGTGTGAGTGTTTTCAGAACAATAATTTATCAAATAATAATTTTTATGAGACAGATGTTGCTCAATTTATCTGGGTCTTTGTCTAAACTGTAAAATCATAATTTTAGTTCGCTCGGGAGAGAGGATTAGATTCTCCTACAAACAAGTATCTGAGCTTGAAGTCAATGAGTGGGTCGGATGATGGATTGGATAGATCAGAGGTCGGTGACCTGCGTCACCTGGAGGCCCGCCCCGCCGGTCAGCGCAGTAACTCCTCCGTGCATGTGTGCTGGCACAGAGCTACATCCGTCGCTATCATGGATCACCAGCGGGCGCTGGAGAACCAGCTGTCAGGATACCTCCTGAGGAAGTTTAAAAACAGCAACGGGTGGCAGAAACTTTGGGTCGTCTTCACAAATTTCTGTCTTTACTTTTACAAAACATTTCAAGACGACTTTCCCCTGGCCAGCTTACCCCTCCTGGGATACAGTGTGGATACTCCAGATACAGAGGATAATATCCAGAAGGATTTTGTTTTTAAACTTCAGTTTAAAAATCACGTATATTTCTTCCGAGCTGAAAGCCAGTATACATTTGACAGGTAAAGGAAAATTTGATTTTTAAAATATTGGAACAATTTCGTGTTGTAATATCATTGAATATGTGAATTTCATTGATTTTATTTTTAGATGGTTGGAAGTGCTAAGTACAGCTACAAGATCTCCTCTCACATCAACATCTATCTCAAACGGAGTTCACTAAACACTAAGATCTGTCATATCCAGAGTTATTTAATCTCTATATCTTACAATGTACCCAAATTCTCAGCCCGTCGATCTTCCACTTTTCCTATATGTACAAGTACCCAGAGATTTTACTTTTCTACCAGGACAACATCTAGAAGATCTTCCCTCTTCCAACCTGGATAAATACATATCCGGCCAACCTCAAGGACCTGAAAAATCAATTCTCGTGTATCGATCTCTTTCTCAGAGCTCAGCAATGATCAGACAATCATTGCAACCGCATGTACAGGTATAGTGTACTGTAATAAACCACACAGTGCACATGTAATCTACAAAATCTCAAATTGTCTATGAAGTGAAAAGTTATTCACTTATTTGTGCATTCTACATAAAAACGTGGAGTATAGATAGAATCATTTGTATTTAATGAGGTTGAATGTACACTTGAAATATTAAAATTAAAATGTACAATGTAAACTGTCATGTGTACTGCGGATAAAGTTGTATATAGTTAGAACTATTTGGGTAAATTCAAACTATCCTAAACTATTTCAAGTTTATCAAAGTTAACGTTCCAAACAATCATTTAAAGCAATCATTTTAGACATTATGCTGAATTTACAATGTACATAATTTACATTTACATTTATTTTGACAAAAAAAAACTTAGTGGTGATGAGGGGGGTTTTAATAGTATCATTAATTTTCTTTGGTTTATGTAATTACTATTCTAAGCATTCTTTCGGAATGTTCCGAAGATTTTTAGGATTCATGATACTTTGCAGATTTTACAGACTCTGAGAATTATATTTATGGTTTGTTCAGTTTCAAGAACTGTCGTTGAATAATCTGAGGACTAATTAGACTCAAGAATCCTTTACTTTGATATTGTGTGGAATGAGAAGATGAAAGACAAAGTGAAACCAGTGATAAATTGATGTTTTCTTCTTATTAACGCGGTTTATATTTTACACTCTGTTTATAACATGCTTCCTCGTCCATCCTTATATACAGGGGTAGTCAATAAACAGGGGACTAGGAGAGGGGATATTAAAGGGATGGTTGACGTAAAATTATGTTGACTAAATAAACAGGATAATTAATTTACGTTGACAATACTTTCCCTTTAGCAAGTAGCAGCTATTTTCTAGTCTTCTCGGCTCGGATCATGTTTATTGACACACCATGTAACATTTACGTACTTTCTCAACTTATACATTTGTCTATGTACAGTTTTTTAAGTGCTCTATAAAGCAGTACACTGCTGTAGCGTGCAATGTACAGTTTTATGCAGTATACTAATAAGCTGTAGTGTGCAGTGTACTGCAGAAAACTGTACATTACCGTTTGTTACTTTCCTGCAGAACACTGTACACTACAGCTTAGTAGTATACTGCATAAAACTGTACATTGCACGCTACAGCAGTGTAAAGTTTTATGCAGTATACTAATAAGCTGTAGTGTACAGTGTTCTGCAGGAAAGTAACAAACGGTAATGTACAGTTTTCTGCAGTACAATAACAAGCTGTAGTTTACAGTGTTCTGCAGTATACTAACAATCTATAGTGTACAGTTTTCTGCAGTATACTAACAATCTATAGTGTACAGTTTTCTGCAGTACAATAACAAGCTATAGTGTACAGTGTTCTGCAGTATACTAACAATCTATAGTGTACAGTGTTCTGCAGTATACTATCAATCTATAGTGTACAGTTTTCTGCAGTATAATAACAAGCTATAGTGTACAGTGTTCTGCAGTATACTAACAATCTATAGTGTACAGTGTTCTGCAGAATGCTAACAATCTATAGTGTACAGTGTTCTGCAGTACAATAACAATCTACAGTGTACAGTGTTCTGCAGTATACTAACAATCTATAGTGTACAGTGTTCTGCAGTATACTAACAATCTATAGTGTACAGTGTTCTGCAGTATAATATCAAGCTGTACTTTACAGTATAGCTGTCGTGTACAGCTCGCTGCAGTACACTCAATACAATTTGAAACACAAATTTTATATTTTTCTACCCAAATGTTTGTATGTTTAACCCTCTGTGAATGTTAAAATTTGTATGAATCTGAAACTGTAAAATATGCCACGATGCAGGATATTTATGTTTAAGCATGACTACCCATCCTTTATATATATTTAAAATTATCTAATTAAACTAGAAAGTATTGACCAGGGACCTGGGCCCTGGGGTTGACTAAAATACCCCCCTTGCACTAGTCACCCTGTAAATATATCATATCTGCATTATCTACATAAAACCGGCACCTTATCCCTCCAACATTTCTAATATTTTTATACAGTGAAACCCTTAATAACGAATAAATCGAAAGAATTCATCAAATGTCGGATTCTTCACTTTCTGATAATGGAATGTTGCAGATATTTAGTTTTTTAATTAAATGATTATATGGAACTCTTTAAAACTGTTCTAGGCTAGGAGACAGCTGTTGTTACAAGGCTAGGAGACAGCTGTTGTTACAAGGCTAGGAGACAGCTGTTGTTACAAGGCTAGGAGACAGCTGTTGGGAAATACTTCCCTTTAAAACTAATGCCAACTCTTGGATATAGATCTAAACAGGCAAATAACGAGATCTTATTTACATATATTAGCAGAAGTTAAAGCAAGAATGTAATGCAAGGAAAGTTAATTGCAGTTGGGTGTACTCTGCGTACATATTGAAACCAGTTCTTTCTGAGCCCGAAATTTAAAAGAGTATCGTTGAACGAAACTCCCGAGTTTCCTTTTTGGGGTCTTGGCAATTGTGTAGATTTTGATTTAAGAAATTTAAAAAAATGAAGAATATGAAGAAACTTAATAAAATAACATTTCACAACAAAAATATTGATATCCACAAAACTGCCTAACCCCATTCTTGAAACCCGGGTTTCAAAACTGGTTTTCATAACGATACCCTGTCTTAAGTTTTGGGCTCTGGGCGGAATTTGTAAACAAGAATAGATGCCTCAGTGTTCGTTTAGTATCCGAGGAGGTTAAAAGCATTGAATTTTGATAATTTTGAGAATTCACAGAATAGTTTCCTATAACCAGAATGTTTCATTAATATTTATGTGAAAGATGGATCCCATGACAGGCTTCGACATCCGTCTTGTGTTTACATTACCGCCCAGTGACAGTACACTGCAGTACAGAAGATGTGTTTACCTCTGAAATAACTTTCTTTGCATTAAATCCTTGAGTTAAAGGGACTTTCGCTGTAAGTCTCATTGACCATCAATGCATATTTAGTATACCCCCTTGTAACCATTATCTGATCAATAATGTAGAAAGTAATGTCATTATCTGGCTTGAAAAGTGTTAAATTATGATGGTTTCTTCATTGTTCCTGATACAAGAAATACGCAAGTCAATTTTGTATAGAAACCACGAATGAAAATTTCATGCTTGGTTAGCAATGAAATTGGCTAGTAGTAAACCAAATGATACACAAAGTTTTGATCTTGTCCTTCACCAGTATCGACCTTATTTGCGGCCAGCCAAGAAGAAAAGGGGAAACAACCTTCCTGAAGGTTCCAATAGATGGAATATGTGTAGTCAAGAGTGGGAAGTCATATTAGAAGGACGGGAAGAGTCTAACAGTCTTCAAGTTTACAAAGAAGGAAGAGGTCCTGGTCGAGGACGTGGGAGAGGTCGTCCTAGAGGGTCAACTTGGGGTAAGAGAGATTCCTCTGCTGTGGATTCTGAATATCTTTCTTGTCCATAAGTTTATGTTTTGATTTTTTTAGATAAAAATATAAATTTTGAGCATTTATTTCTTTTTAATGCATTCCTAATCTGTATATTATTGTTTATTATTTTGCATTGGACAAATAGTGATAAGTATTTAAATATTTTTTGAGATAAGATCGTAACTCCATAGGGGATTGGATATATTTGGAATGTTTGCATTATCATCTTATTTTTGGATTTTTAGCCAGATTATTTGAACTGGCATATGTTTCTATTCTTGCATTTTATTAACATACTTATCAAATGATATTTTCACACAGCCAGATGTCTTCCATAGTGTTTTTATAAACTTTTTTTTATTCTGCATAGTTTTTCTTTATTTGGTGTTAAAAGATATATTGTTTTGTACGTGCACAGATTATTACAGTTGCTTGCACTACTGACATGATTGTGCACATAGTACCCCTTGTTGAAAACTTAAGTTGTGGGGGGCTTTGATCTAGAAGAAAAAATTAATAAGCCGAAAATTATTATGAAGGTGCACTTTCCTCTACATAAGATTCTGTTTTTTTTTCAACACCCTTTAGATGTAGATATATAAATATATATATATGATTGGAGTGGAATGAAGTGGATATCCGGGAGTAGGACTGAAAATAAAATGGCAGGATTTAAATGTCAGAATAAGACCAAATATATGCAGGTTAATGCAGAATTGAATCTTGAATTTAATGTTTAAATTTCACAGTTGATCGAATACTGTAGAATATAATCAGAAACTTGGTCTACAGGCAAATTCTAAATGCTGAACCATATTCAGATTTACCTTCAAAGAATGTAATTCAACGACGACCTATAAAACTTTAAATAAAAGTAAAAATAGGTGTTCTGTGTGTTTGCTGGTTTTAAATGAAGTGGCAAAGATATAAAAAAAATCACAGGAAACCTTGAAAACAAAAATTACGACTCAAAAAAGTTTGTAGGATCGTATATGAAGTTGTGAACTCGGATCAGAATCCTATCTGAAGTTCTGAACTCGGATCAGAATCCTATCTGAAGTTCTGAACTCGGATCAGAATCCTATCTGAAGTTGTGAACTCGGATCAGAATCCTATCTGAAGTTCTGGACTCGGATCAATCAAACTGCTCTAAAATGATCCTGGGGATTAGACTGATTAATCCAACCATAGTGTTTGCCAGAAATCTCCAGGATTTCTTCAAATGAATTGATTTTTTGCCATAAACCCAAATTTTTTAATCCTTATATCTTTGCTCACTATTGGTGAAAACCTTAAATATTTCAAGCTTAGAATTTTTGATTTATTAGAATTTAAATATCTAAGGTCTTATAGGGATTACAAAATCAGAATTTGTTGCAAAGACTAGCTCTTTTCCTTTACTGGAATTCAAAACTGTTTTTCACTGTCGAAAATGAAAATAAATTGTGATAATCATTCTCGTTATATTATAATGGTATACGAAGACGACTTGAAACTAATATAAAGTGTTTTTTGTCGTTCGAAAGCTTAAGAATAACTTGTGTAGGGAAATCAGTCCGTGCACACCTACAGTTTGACTTATGCCAAGCTATTAAAATCTCGTTTTAGTTTACAGTTTTATAGGGACCACTGATTTGGTTTAGAGTTTTATGGGGACCACTGTTTTATTTTACAGTTTTATGGGGACCACTATTTTAGTTTACAGTTTTATGGGGACCACTGTTTTAGTTTTCAGTTTCATGGGGACTACTGTTTTATTTTACAGTTTTATGGGGACCACTGTTTACAGTTTTATGGGACCACTGTTTTAGTTTACAGTTTTATGGGGACCACTATTTTAGTTTACAGTTTTATGGGGACCACTATTTTAGTTTACAGTTTTATGGGGACCACTGTTTTATTTTACAGTTTTATGGGGACCACTATTTTAGTTTACAGTTTTATGGGGACCACTGTTTTAGTTTGCAGTTTTATGGGGACCACTGTTTTAGTTTACAGTTTTATGGGAACCACTGATTTGGTTTACAGTTTTATGGGGACCACTGTTTAAAATCTTTTCCCAATACTCGATACAATGGAAATAAATTTCCGAAACTCTAGACCATGATCTTTTATCAGTACAATAGTCATTAAATATTTATCATTTGTCGTCAAAAATACTTTTTATCCATTTAAATGAAATTATGATGTAAAGAAATTGATCTAAAATGATAATTATTATTTCTAGAAAAATTTTTATAAACATAGGATTTAGTGGGACATTATTCCTCGAGACGATTTAGATAAACAACATCCAAAATCATAGTTAAAGATTAATGTAAAAAAGGTAATTTAGAAATTTGGCATAAATGAATTAGTAATGCAATGCAAGGCAAAATTGCATAAAAAAATGAATACTAATATTTCAGACCGTCATAGTTTGGTATAAATTTCTTTTTTCATTCTTTATTCTTTCTTTGATCTCTTTTCCTTTGATGATTTCTGGTAATAGTTATTATTCTTTTTTATTCTATTATTCAACTTTTAGCTATAATTCTTTCTGTATCGTAGATCGGAGACAGACATCACAGATTACACAGATAGGACAAGAAAGATAGCATGGTTGTTTTGATCTGTAACTTTTCCGAGTTATCATTTCCTTCCTCATTACGTATCAATCCCTTAAAATTTTTGGCAAACACCACTTTTTTTCCCCGGCTAACTACTTTTTTGTCCCGGTTAACTGCCTTTCTCTCCCGCCTGGCGCGGCCACCTTATTTTCCCGGCTAACCACCTCATTGTCCTGGATAACCACCTTATTGTCCTGGCTGACCATCTTATTGTCTTGGCTGACCATCTTGTTGTCCGGCTGACCTATTTATTTTCCCGGCCCGACCACCTTATTGTCCCTGCCCGACCACCTTATTGTTTTGGCCCGACCACCTTATTGTTCCGGCCCGACCACCTTATTTTNTTATTGTCTCGGCCCGACCACCTAATTGTCCCGGCCCAACCACCTTATTGTCTCGGCCCGACCACCTTATTGTCCCGGCCTGACCACCTTATAGTCCCGGCCCGACCACCTTATTGTCCTGGCTAACCAACTACGTATCTCGGCTGAATTTAAGCTTGATAAGTTTTAAATAAAGGAACTAATCCCTACCTCCAACAAACTTATTTCTCTAATCACTATATCTTTACAACCTGATGATGTAAACTTTTGATCTTGAAAACTGTTACCATTAGATCTAGCAGAAATCATAATGTAATTATAAATATAAAAGTTATTCCAAATCACGTTGCAAAAATATAGAGATTATAAAATCATCCTTTAAGGAAAGAATTAAGTTTATTTGCTGTAGTTTTAAAGTACAATATTCAAACCAAAAATGTAGATAAATCAACTTATTGCGTTTATTGGGTCGATGTAAACTGTACAACTGCTGTGTTTCATGTTCATTCATAGAGTATAGTAATCGTCTTTCTATTACACAGGTTTGTGGGTCCCTCTGTATTTCAGTATATAGTTGGTATATAGTGATATGCAAAAAGTTGGTTCGTTTTTCAGGGTTTCAGGACTTACTGATGCTCACAAAAAGTTTTACTTTTAAAACTGTTTATTCTATACATTTCAGGTCTGCATGCAAAAAAATCAGAGAGAAATCTCTAGATATAAAGTCAGAAGGCTTCTTTTGTCTTTAGAAGGGGGATGGATAATGGTATAAGGAGAGGGGAAAATGCATTGAGTTTCCCCATGTTGATGACTTTAGACACCCCAAATGGACCTAACACACAGTTTTTGAAAAAATGTCCGAAAAATGCGGGAAAAGTTAAGAAAAAATTTTTTTTTAACCATTTTGGTTTTTGATTAAAAAACTAGATCACAATTCAGGTCTGCATGCAAAAATCAGAGAGAAATCTCTAGTAGGAAAGTCAGAAGGCTTCTTTGGCCTTTAGAAGGGAGAAAATGCTGGAAAGGGGGGAAGGAAATGGTATAAGGAGAGGGGGAAATGCATTATAGAATCCAGAATTGAGTTTTCCGACCCAATGTTGATCCCTTTACACACCCCACATGGACCTAACACAAATTTTTTGAAAAAAAATGTCCGAAAAATGCGGGAAAAATTATTTTTCCCCCACTTTGGTTTTTGATTATAAAACTAGATCACAATTCAGGCCTGCATGCAAAAAATCAGAGAGAAATCTCTAAAAGCAAAGTCAGAAGGCCCCCTCCCACCCTTTTTATGGAAATGTGGACATTCCCCTTTCAAAATTGTTTATTCTATACATTTGTCTTTCTTACTCCGCGCCGTACCGAATTTGAACCTGGAGAGAAAATGTATGACAAAAACTAACCACAGTGTAAACATTCGTTTTTAGGTTAGTTTTTCATTTTTTCCTCTTAGGATAAAAGTTTAATTAAATCAGATTTTAACAGAATAAAGTTTTGAAATGATGGAAGTTTTACATAAGGTTACTTTCTTTGTTTTCCAACATAAATGTAGATTTGATAAAATATGCAGGTTTTTATTGGTTTCTCAATATAATGATAAAAAATAATTACCCGGGACATTAAAAAATATTTTCTCTCTTTAAAAAGACAAACCATTAAATCCTTCAAATTCAGCAATGAAAACATTTTTATAAAGGAATTTTTATCCGATTAAGAGTGCAGATCTTTTATCAAATAAAAAGGGTTTTACGTCATATTCGTAAAAATAGAAAATGTTTTGTTGTTCATATTTATATATATAATGGATGTACTATGTACAATAATTCACAAAACTCTTCTCTTCTTTACAGGAACTGTAGACTTAGTTTCTAGTGACCCTTCATTTATAAATTTGCAAGATTCACAAAGGTACCCTTGAAAGGGAGTGAACGGCCATGTATGGTAGTTGAACTGAGAATGCAGTTTGTGGAGAAATTTACAGGATTCATTTGAGACAAATAAAACATTTTAATGATGTATTATTTCTGACTTTACAGAAAATGTTTGTGAACAATGAGAGATTACAGAAACTAATAAAAGAATAAGATTACTTATTTTCGATGATAAGAGTACGTAACCACCCAAATGGATGCTTTTGAAATTCCGCTTCGTGCTCAAAATCAGCAGCTATACATCAATAAAACGTTTGATATGTCTCAAATGCATCCTAAAAATTTCTCCACAATAATACATTCTCAGTTCAACTATTATACATTGCCGGTCATTGCCCTTTGAACTTTTATCTGAGCAACAAGGAGAAAGATGTTGTCGATTTTCTAAACTTTTATCTCAGCAACAAGAAGGAAGATGTTGACGATTTTCTAAACTTTTATCTGAGCACCAAGGTTGAAGAAGTTGTCGTTTTTCTAAACTTGTATCTGAGCAACAAGGAGAAAGATGTTGTCTAGAACTAGAAAAATGTAAATTTTGACAATCTACTTTGTTCTCTCTTAATGCATAAATTAGCAAGTCACTTAAAAAATAGCATCAAACGAAAATAATCATTTTTTTAAATAGAAACAGAAATTAAACATTATCGCTCGGAGAAATATTTTAAGGTGCAGATGTGAATCGGAGATGAATTTACGTCTACAGTCACTTTAATCATTTAGATTTAGTATCATACAATACCATGTAAATACCGGGAATAGATTTATATTATCAAATTTCAGATCTTGTTAAGATACAAATTCAAATCACATTTGTTGATAAAACAATACAAAAACTGTATTTATACAGCACAATAGCAAAAAAAAATAATAGGCAATTAGAATGCCAAAAGTAGATAAACATACAATAATTTTTTTATTTTGTAAGATGAATCAAATATCTTTTATCCATTAGTACTCCTCTGTCCTTGACTTGAACCAGATACCTAAAAATAAGCATAATTACAAGTAATATTAACTTTGACTTGAACTAGATACCTAAAAATAAGCATAATTACAAGTAATATTAACTTTGACTTGAACTAGATACCTAAAAATAAGCATAATTACAAGTAATATCAACTTTGATTTGAAGTCAGAACTTTAGTATTGTGAATCTCTGGATCAAGCATTGATCTTTATCTCATGCAAATCTACGGATTGGTTTTATTCCCCCACATTGCCCACATTGGATATAGAGATCAAAGATTAGGGATACTTATTACTTACCTCTGGAAACAAATGGTAATACTACCCGTAAATACTACTCGTAAATAATGTTAAGGATACCTATGAATAAACGTTAACAACGTTAATTCGTGAATAAACGTTTACGAAACCCTTAAATAAACGTTAAAGCTCCTAGCAAACGAACGTTTAAATAAATTATTGTGTCCGTTACGAAAGCGATAAATAATAAACCGAACCTTTCTGAAAATTAAGAGAAACATAAAAAATATTTCAAAAACTCCAAGAGCGAATTATTAGATATGTGCACTTCAGTATATACTACCCGATGCACTATACAGTGTTTTATTTCTATACCTGGATATCCAGTTAGCAGAGAAATGTCCTGCTTCTCTCTGGAGATGAGGATACAGAAGGATTCGTAAACTATCCTCGGGAAGAAGCTCCTTAAAATATAATTTTGATTAGAAGATAAAAAAATTCGGCGTTTTAATGATTTCTGATATAATGATTCTTTTTTGAAATTTCTGAATGATTTATCAGACTTAGATAAATTTCTTTGCATTAAAAGTTTAAAATAAAGAAACCTTTGATGATTTATTATTAAACACTGTTGTAAAGTTTTCAGCGGGATGGAGAAACATATAAAAGTTAATTTAAGATTTATCAAATTTATGAAGAACTTTCATCTCAAAAACCAACGTATTTTTGATATGATAAAAACAGCACATATATAAAGAACTGCATAGGTATTGGGTACATTGTCTGAAAATAAAATTTATCCGGCTTTTCATCTTCTTACAGTTCCCCTCATCTTCCCTCTCCTGTGTTCTAACTATACCTCTAGATATATGTACTGTGTACTAAATATACCCCTAGATGTGTGTACTGTGTTCTGTGTACAATGTACTAATAATAACTCTGGAACTGTGGAACTAACAATACTTCTGGGTCTGAGTATGCACTGTGTAGTGTGTACTAACAATACATATGGATATGTAATATGTACCAGCTATTCCTTTAGATCTGTTTACTGTGTACTAACTATACTTCTATATCTGTGTGCTGTGTTCTAACTATAACTCTACATCTGTGTACTGTGTACTAACTATTCCTCTATATCTGTGTACTGTGTACTAACCATCCCTCTAAATCTGTGTACTGTGTAATAACTATACATCAGGATCTGTGTACTGTATACTACTTATACATCAATATCTGTGTACTGTGTACTAACTATACCTCTATACCTGTGTACTGTGTACTAACTATACCTCTGGATCTGTGTACTGTGTACTAACTATACATCAGGATCTGAGTATTGTGTACTAAATATACCTCTATAGCTGTGTACTGTGTACTAACTATACCTCTATATCTGTGTACTGTGTACTAATTATACCTCTGGATCTGAGTGTGTGAGAAGAGTAACTTTGTTAAGTTTAGCGAACTCAGTTAGTTCCTCTGGAACTACACAACAACTCTTCAGGTTAACCTAAAGATAGAAATATTGATAACTTTTTTGTTGTATATTTTAATATATTTTGTTTGATTAGTTCGTATAAAACCTGTTCACGTTTTAACCTGCTCAATCAAGTTTATAAGAAGAATTAATGAACAATTCTTCCCATTTTGTTTCATTAAGTTCTCTTTTCTCCCCCGTTCCCCTTCCTCTGCCCATTCTTCCCTAGCATCCCATCCATTTTCTTCCAATCCTCTCTTTTTCAGGTTTTCGTTTCGTTGTAATTCTAATTAAAAAAGGAGACTCCTCTTACAATGGTACCTAGAAACCTTAATCTGAACAATAATGTCATTTATTAGCTTAATCGGACATGCCACTTTATTATTATAGGGTCACTTGAAATTACGTTTACAGTTCCTTTCAAATTTTCTTACTTTTCTAAACTACGCCTTTCATAACTTTATTTAATACTAATTTTCCTTTTAATATTCTTAATCCATAAACAATCTAACACAATCTTTCCTTGGTTTAAGTAACTTCTCAAATTTTTGCTTATAGTTTTCCTTATTCATTCTAACCCTTGATCTCCGACCACTCCCAACCTTTTTCAAGGTTTGATCTTATGCCGTTCAATCCCAACAGATCCAACCTTACCAGTTCCCCTTTAATATATCTACCTGAATACTAGTTGGTTTAACTGTGGCTTGATTGTACAAAGATATAAATGCAGAAGGACGAAGATCACAGAGTCCAGCTCCTCCAACCCGTCCTGCTCCGATCATTTCCTCAACCACACTCCACACGTTCTGCAGGGAGGAGAGAGCTTCAGTGTGTACTAATCCGGTTCCCGTCCCACTTCCAATACCTGGAACAACATATTTATTGTTTACTTTTCAATTATGAAAATATGAGATTTTATTGAACACTTGAAACACTTTTTTTTCAAATCTTAACTCGCCCCAAACTGCAATTTTCTGTATCCTAATTGCAACATGATGTCGTAACCTTTAATATTTTAAACTATGAATTGGATCAAAAATTCAACGTCTGAATTATTAGGTTGTAAAGCTGGATAAATTATTAGAAAATTAATATTTCGGACGAGATATTAGTTCTTTTTGCTTTTTACAAAATCATAACATTGAGTACTTTGTTCCTTAAGTTGTTCATGTACATGCTGTACATGTGTGGTATACTCATTTTGTACCTTTAACTTAATTGATATACTTAAAATTTAAACCTTAATTCAATGTTTTTAATGATTCCTAAATTTTCGATTAACAAAGCCAAAGGCAAGTATGGAGAAATTATTTAATCCCCGCAGTTCTTGTGAATTCTTATAAATCTTCAGTTCAAGAAACCAAAACAGATATTTACTTTATTTAAGAGACTGTAGACGTAATTTCAAGCAAACCTCCTTTTCTAGAGTGGTATGTCATCTTTGATCATACGAAGGTTAAAAGGGTACCGTTGTGAATCGGACCTGTCTGCACGCTTAAACTAAGAACCACTTGAAAAAACGTGTACAGTCCCTTTACGTATAAACGAACCAATGACGTGTACTGCATCTGTAGGAACAGCAATGAAAAGATTGTCAACATGATCTGTCTTCAACTGCTCCAGAGCAGCATTAACTGCTTTCTTCAGATTATCAACGTTAAAGTCATGCAAAAACACTTTCAAAGTGATCTTCAGCTGATTTCTGAAAAGTAATATGATTTAAAATATGTATTTTAAACGTTCATAACGATTTTTGATGTTGCAATTTTACAGAGTTTTTCACCTTTCGAATTTTTCCTGAATGTAATCATCATTTTTCACAATTTTCTCTTCAGTTTCAACCTCAGCTTCATCCTTCTTCCAGCTAAATTCAGATAAAATAAGTTAATTAATTTAACGACTACCAAATAAATCGACAAGGTCAAAAGTGTACTTTTTACAAGTGTAAAATAAAATTTAAACATAAATGTTTTAATAATCTTTTTACAAAAATATTAACTATATTATGTTATGAGGGTTTTAAAATGAAAATTAAATATTTGTTGTGAGGTAATTAAATAAAAACATGATCTCAAAATGATACCGGTTTTATAAAAACTAGAATGAAAGGGTGCGGAGGGGGGAAGGGGGTGGTTAAGAAATTACCCTGCAAAAATATCCTCCACGACCATCTGTATCTCGACCCCTGGGTCTCTGCCTCCCAACCTTTTCCTGAGCTCGGCGTTAGCCACGAGGTTCCCCCCGACCAAGTAGAGGCTGTTCATTGTTCTGGTAGATTTCTTTAAATTAGAAATCACAGATTCTCTCTCTGAAATATTCAACAATAAAATATTATTACTATAGATTTATTCACACACAAAGATTTATTGACACATGTCAATGGCGTAGTTTAAATAATTGTGTTAAAATATTTTAATATATAGTTTAAGAAAAATTTGCATAATTATAAAAAATAGGTGTCTTTGATTATTATTCATTACAGAACTACTATTTCAGAAATCATTTCATTATCGAATCCTTCAACATATAAATTGTTCTTATGAAACCTGATTTTTCCATGCTTTCTTTATCGTGACATCAAAATGTTTCAATTGTCTCTTGAACAACGTTTTACTCAGATCAGACACATTTCCAAAATAAAACATAATCATTAGAAAATAAAGGGCGCTTAAGCCATTTTTACATAAATGGGAAAGACATCTAATCCAGATTTTTGATCTTACTTGAATAATTTAAAAAAAAAGAAACTCATCTATGATCACTAGCTATAACATAATTTGTGAAATACTTTCAATTCAGAATTAGATACCAACATTAAAGAATTTTATGTGTTATAAAATGATAAAATATAAAGAGACTCACTGGTTGCATTAGTTTAAAAACCGGTTTTAATGCGTTTTAGGAATTGATACAAATTCTTTTAAAAATATGATTTTACAAGAGAACATCAACTTTGAAAAGTAAATATTTCAAATAATGCTAAATAAAATATTAGAAATTTGTAAATATTAAAAAATTCTGAGGCTAGAGAAAAAGTTTAATTCTAAAACATTCTAAACCAGGCTTTTAGAGCGGTTCACGCCTATTTTTTTTTACTCTTAATTGTGGCTCTTTCTGTGAGCATCTTCTTCCTGTACAATATAAAACAATAACAAAAAAAGTTCGCGGATTTAGTGATATTTTTAGAGAATTTTTTAAATTTTACAAAAATCAAAAACGTTTGCACACACGCGTTTGTAATTTTGAGCAACCATAAACCTTCCCTGGGATCATGCAGGGGGGGGACATTCGCCCCCCCCCCCCTGAATTTGGAATTTTTTGTTCCTATTTTCAGAATAGCTTCTCAATAGCATGCTTAAGGGAAAGAAACCCTAGTGCAAAACAGGAAAAATATCTGTCTTAACAAACTATAATGTGTGAAAAGTTAAAAATCTAGTTTTTTTTGTCTTTAGTCATTAATTTTGACTCTTTTTGAGTCTTTTAAGTCAAAATTTTTTTGTTCCTAAAAAATCTTGCCCCCCCCCCCTCACTTAAATCCTGTATCCGCCCCTGGGATCATGTAAGGTCCCACAAAAAAATTGGCCCCGATCGGTTCAGCCGTTTTGACAACAGAAGGACAAATGACAGACAAGTAAAGTATATCTATATAAATATATATATTCTTGACATTTTTCAACTTTTTACTCAGTCCATCTGCATATGTATGAAATTGATGAAAATCACTAACAGAAAAATTCTTAAATTTCTATAGTTCGTACTCTTTAAGTTCTTAATCTTTTATAATCTTCTTATAGTACTTCAATACTTTGAGCTGTGACTGCACTGTTCAGTTAATTTCTTGAACATAAACAACCTCTAAGAATATATATTTTACTTGTATTGTCACTTTTAGACGTATATACGTATCAATAAAGGTATCTCTAGCAACTAGAACTATAAAAACTTGAATATATTTTTAGGATCGTCAAGCAGGTTATACTGGAACTTGTACTCTTTAACCCCTGTACACACAGTTCAAACAGTTCGTAGTTTTTATATCAATGTGTTCACTCTGTTCACCACAAGGATGAGTAACAAGAGAGTGTTAAACTATTCTTAATCAGATTTAACAAATATTTAAATATTTTACTGATATGTTATCTGCTGTATATCACATCACTTTATGTGTATAAGCTGAACCCTGTTAGGTCTGCAACCAAAACTAGAAATATATTCAAGTTAAAAAGAAAGCTCACACGACTTTCTCATATTTACTCCCACTCTCTCTCCAAAATAGTCTGGTTATATAATAGAGTTACGAAATAAAAATCATTATCTGTGGCGCAACTATCACTTTTGTGCGGGGGGGGGGCGAAATGTGATGTTGAGGGCTGGTAAGGGGTACAGAGGGCTACCCCCCCCTGGCGAAAAACTTTCCAAAAAAAGCGCGGTTTTCAGGATTTGAAGTAAAAAAACAGCATTTTTTAATCTTTGAAGGGTTGGCTCTTCATACAGCTTTAAATTGAAAGACGTGAGTGAACTAATTAATCATGTCCCCTATTACAGTCTACACCAGTTTTTTGTAATTCATCCACTTGTCATATTTGTCCACTATATAGCCTGTTGAACAAAATCATTAAACAAACTCCCCAGAGACTTTTTTAAAGTCGTCTTTACCAGGTTTGCCAAGCTAAGATCTCTCTGACGGAGTCTTAACACACCAAACCAAACCCTCCTCCGATACTCGATTGTAAATCAAAACAAAGCACACGTTGAAGTGAAATAAGTTAAAATTCTAAGGAAAACCAATCTTTTTTTAACCAAGCAACTATTTTCAGAAGATGCTTTAAATGATTACATGTGACAGAGACACCTAGCGGAAAAAAGTCGTTTTAAGTGCATTGTATATAAAACAAATAACAAATATTATAAAACATTAAATAAATACGAATGCGTCGAAAAATAATCAATGACTTTAGGTTGTAATATCTGAATGATTTGTTTGAAATTGAATTAATTATTTTACGATACGAGTATATATTTGTATATTTATTGTTATTTTAATACATATATATAAATTAGCTGGCCATACAGCTGGACCAAATTAGCTGAAAATTTTCAGATTTACCCATATGCATGGGTATCCCGAGTGTAACGTAGACTAAAAAATTATATTATCGGGCAACTCTGGGCACTTCAGCCAGTGATTAATATAATCCAAATCATTTCCAGTCATCTCCATTTCAAAGAATCATAGAAATCCGTGAAAATTGTTTTATATGTTGTATGAGACCAATTCAACTTTGGAATAGGAAGACGACTTTAAAGCAATCTGTTGTCTACACAATGTTGCTCTAAAGCCAATTGTGGTAAATTAATATATTAAGTAGGGTTTTCAACGCAAGTGGATTTTACTTGCGCGCATTTGCGAGCCCTTGCGTGCAAGTGAATTTAAATGCGCGCAATTTCGTAATAATTGCGCGCAAATAAACGCAAAGGAATTGCGTTGTGTTTCAATTTCTTGATACAAATTAAATTTAAACCTTATGGCACCCAATAAATGCAATTAATTAATGCGCAATTCCTTTCAAGAACAAAATATTCAATTTAAACTTTGGCAGTGGCATACTATAAACTGAACTTCACTAACATTTTAGTCTCAAATGCTAAGAAAATTGAATTTAAACTTAATATTTTGTTTTATAATATTCATTTGCACCATGATAACCAGAAAAATCTGGCATAGGAAGACGACAGTTTAGACTCAAGCAGATTCATGTAACTGAATGAGTGATTTAATAAGTTACTAATTAATTTTGTTCGACTTGTAACTATAATATTAAATACACTGTGATGTTGTCTTTCTGTACCATAGTTTTCTGGTTCTCACTGTAGCAAAATATCTAATTTTGAGTAAACGAACCTTACAATTTTAGTCCAAAATTTTGTCCATTTTAATGTTATTTAATGTTAACAAATGAAAAATGTATCATATTAAATTGTTAATTAGTAGCTTAACCACAAGAAACTTTAAAATTTGAAAACTGATGAAACACTCGGTTCTCGATTATTTTAAAATCAACAGATATTTAATTCCAATCATGTATCTGCTGCATAAATTTGTAAGTCGAACATTTAAAATTATTGATTTTTAGATATGAAACCAATTCTGATGTACGCAATTCCGCGCAATTCCACGCAATTCCGCGAATATTTAATTGCTTCCTTTTTCGCACTTATAGCGCAATTGCGCGCAATGAAATGGCGCAAGCGGAAGCAACCATTGCGCGCAACAGAATTCCAATTGGAAACCCTAATATTAAGTAAAATGGGTCTGTACACACTGTAAAATTACTTTGTCTCAGTCTAATTGGAATAGCTAAAATCGGATGTTTAGTCTGACGGTAGTCCTTTTATTCCACAGTTGCATCATAAAAAATGTATTGTGCAAAATATACACGTCTTAAAGATAAAAATGTAGAAAAAATAGAAAATTAAGAACTTTTCTTTTTAAAATTGAAATATTAACAAATACAAAACAAAACACTCTTTCATAAATTCATCATTAGACATACATAATACATATGTAAACTAGAAAAATAGAACTTTTAAATTATTTTAAGAATCTGTCTCCTCTTTTAACTTAAAAGAACTTTGTATGTTTATGAATATATTGTTAATGTTAAAAAAATAATAAAAATAACATTCTGACATATGTATATATATTTTACCCGACATATTCACAAATTCATTGTTGTAATTTGTAATTTGTAATTTGCAAGTTGTAATTTGCAGTCTTGTATTTGCGTTTTTGTTAATATTTTTAACTAGTGTTCCTAATTGAGATTTGAGATGTTTCAGTATATTTCGGACAGTACGGTATTTCTGTAGGCATCTTTCCCTGCTGGATTTTCTTTAAACCTGTGATATAAATTATTAAAAGTTAAGATATATCCATTTTTAATTAACTTTAATATTTAATTTGTTGCTATTAAAGTGTAGCATTAACTATTTTGTACAGAAGTATCTAGATATATTTACACGTTGTTAATTTTTCCCCAAACTGGGCCAGAACACGGTTTTGAACAACACTTGCATATAAGGTAGGAATATTACTGTATTTAGACATATATATACATATTATACAGCTAATATACATTATACAAAGTCATTTATCTCCATTAAAGGAACAAGCTGTTGCTGGTGAAGATAATAGAAATCATAACTTATACAACCATATTTCTAACTGACAGACAGACAATCCTGTCATTGAAAGCATAAGCAAAATTGATATTGTTAAAATATGAATGTTATTTTGAGTGGTTTGGA